AGGTATCAGCAGCAGGAAGAAAAGAGGACCCTCCAGTCGTCAACACATGACACAGCAAATATTAGTTAAGTGTTACCTGGTTCCTTGATGTTAGTGAGGAATTGCACCTGTCCTCAGTTCCCTTGGATCGAACCTGCTTGCCTCCCATTCCACCAATGCACTGTATAACCTGTAAGGTTTTAACACTTCCCCGTGAATATAATAATAATAATTAATAAATTGATCATTTTTATGGTGATTTCCCCTTATGAGTTATTTTTATGAGTCTAATTATACACAAATAACCCGCACATAGGAGACAGGAGATTACCACGACGTTTCGGTCCGACATGGACCTTTTACAAAGTCAGTGTGACTTAGTAAATGGTCCAAGTTGCACCGCAACGTCGTCGTAAGCTCGTCTCTCCTATGTGCGGGATATTCGTGTATTGTTCCAGTCATGGTAATGTGTCTTGTTATTATTTATGAGTCTTATTAGGTCTAGTGGGTAAACTCGTTTAATAGTAAACAACGAGTGTGTACTGAATGCACAGAGGATATTTTCCAAGAATTTCAACTGCAGCAGCTGTCTTCACAGCGAGACACTTTTGTCCATCCTGGAAGAAAACGACTGAGGTGACCAAGCAATGGTACCTAAGTAACAGTGACAGCCGTCAGGTGCCATCTACTGCGTGTTCGGAAGGACACTGCTCCCTCCTCTCCCCATTCATGTTCCTAGTTTTTATTGTTTGTTAATCGTTAATTGTATATTTTTTATTGTTAAGAGTACTGCGTGACCTACAGTCATAGCTGTTTACAGTCGAAATCAGAAAATATTTGACGGACAGGCAGAGGTACACACCTACACACACACACACCTACACAGAACGAGTCCTTGGTTCACCCAAAGGTGTAGGGAGGCAAAAACTAGGTGTACTAGAGAATGGAAAAGGTACAGAAGACAGAGAACTCAGGAAAATAAAGAAATCAGCCGAAGAGCCAGAAACGAATATGCACAGATAAGAAGGGAGGCTCAGAGACAATATGAAAATGACATAGCATCAAAAGTAAAGACTGACCCGAAGCTGTTGTACAGCCACATCAGGAGGAAAACAACAGTCAAGGACCAGGTAATCAGACTGAGGAAGGGTGATGGGGAATTCACAAGAAACGACCGAGAGGTATGTCAGGAGCTCAACACAAGATTTAAAGAGGTATTTACAGTGGAAACCAGTAGGACTCCAAGAAATCAGAACAGGGGGGCACACCAGCAAGTGCTGGATGAGTACATATAACCAAGGAGGAGGTGAAGAAGCTGCTATGCGAACTTGACACCTCAAAGGCGGTGGGACCAGACAACATCTCTCCATGGGTCCTTAAAGAGGGAGCAGAGATATTGTGTGAGCCATTAACAAAGATCTTCAACACATCATTTGAAACTGGGCAACTCCCTGAGGTATGGAAAATGGCAAACGTAGTCCCAATTTTTAAAAAGGGAGACAGACATGAGGCACTAAACTACAGACCTGTATCCCTAACGTGTATAGTATGCAAGGTCATGGAGAAGATCATCAGGAGGAGAGTGGTGGGGCACCTGGAAAGAAACAAGTGTATAATTGACAACCAGCACGGTTTCAGGGAAGGAAAATCCTGTGTCACAAACCTAGAGTTTTATGACAAGGTGACAGAAGTAAGACAAGAGAGAGAGGGGTGGATCGACTGCGTATTTTTGGACTGCAAGAAGGCTTTCGACACAGTTCCTCACAAGAGGTTACTGCAAAAAGCTAGAGGACCAGGCACACATAACAGGAAAGGCACTGCAATGGATCAGAGAATATCTGACAGGGAGGAAACAACGAGTCATGGTACGCGACGAGGTGTCAGAGTGGGCGCCTGTGACAAGCGGGGTTCCACAGGGGTCAGTCCTAGGACCTGTGCTGTTCTTGGTATACGTGAACGACATAACGGAAGGGATAGACTCAGAAGTGTCTTGTTTGCAGACGATGTGAAGTTAATGAGAAGAATCGAATCGGACGAGGATCAGGCAGGACTACAAAGAGATTCTGGACAGGCTACAAGCCTGGTCCAGCAACTGGCTCCTTGAATTTAACCCTGCCAAATGCAAAGTCATGAAGATTAGGGAAGGGCAAAGAAGACCGCAGACACAATATAGTTTAGATGGCCAAAGACTGCAAAACCTCACTAAAGGAAAAAGATCTGGGGGTGAGTATAACACCGAGCATATCTCCTGAGGCGCACATCAATCAGATAACTGCTGCAGCATACGGGCGCCTGGCAAACCTACGGATAGCGTTCCGATACCTCAGTAAGGATTCGTTTAAGACTCTGTACACCATCTACGTCAGGCCCATACTGGAGTATGCAGCACCAGTTTGGAATCCACACCTAGTCAAGCACGTCAAGAAATTAGAGAAAGTGCAAAGGTTTGCAACAAGACTAGTCCCAGAGCTACGGGGATTGTCCTATGAAGAAAGGTTGAGGGAAATCGGCCTGACGACACTGGAGGCCAGGAGGGTCAGGGGAGACATGATAACGACATATAAAATACTGCGCGGAATAGACGAGGTGGACAAAGACGGGATGTTCCAGAGATGGGACACAGACACAAGAGGTCACAATTGGAAGTTGAAGACTCAGATGAATCAAAGGGATGTTAGGAAGTATTTCTTCAGTCATAGAGTAGTCAGGCCATGGAATAGCCTAGAAAGTGATGTGGTGGAGGCAGGAACCATACATAGTTTTAAGGCGAGGTATGATAGAGCTCATGGGGCAGGGAGAGAGAGGACCTAGTAGCAATCAGCGAAGAGGCGGGGCCAGGAGCTGTGACTCGACCCCTGCAACCACAAATAGGTGAGTACAAACAGGTGAGTACACACACCTTAGCGGGAAATTTATTTTTATCCAGTGTAATCAGTTACTTTCTAAGGATCTTTCAAGAAATGAAAGTCAGAAGGTAAATAAATGTATTTTTTTTATTAAGATGGAGCAAGCGCAGTACATTTGACACCTCAGTCCTTGTGCTTGATCATATCCACACACACACACACACACACACACACACACACACACCTGCTGTGATGAGCTCTCTAACACACGTTGAGATCCCAACGTCTGGTCAGTTTTATAAGCACCTGACGTGAATGGCTCTGATACGTGGAGATCCCGACGGTTAATAAGCTGTTCCTCATCTCAGCTTCGAGAGCATCAAAACAGGTGGTAAACACAACTTCTTGAGTATTAAATCACGTGTTCGGAGCAGGTGTCAGTAATATATTCAGAAATAAAACACGTGATTAGAGCAGGTAAAGAGATAAGCTTGGGAGTAAAATATCTTTAAGGAGAAATTAAAGGAAATAAGATTAAGAAATAACCACTTGCTGCGAGTAATGTGGAATCACTAAACACGTAGGGGCCAAACACTGATCGCCTGGTTAACTGGCGGTACTCAGTTTTGATGCCAGAAAGGGTAACTAAGTGCCCTAGTTCTAGAACCCTTCACCAGCACCACTGTTCCTCCTTTCAAAGGGAAAGTAGGCAATGGAAGGAATAATTTTAGATAAGACAGACGTGCTTCTATTTGGCACAAAGTGACTGTTCTCTTACACAAGGTTGAACTAGTGCGATTTGAAGACTTTCTTGGCGTGGTTCTCCCAGATGAGGCAGCCAGTATGGGGCACACATACTAGAGAAAATCATAGTTTTGACTTAGATGCCACGTTGGCACTGGCGTCTCAGTGCCGCTTTGTTAGGCTGCCACCATAAAAGCTCTTTAAATAGCTGCTAGAGTCCGACTCTCAATAATCTCCGATTAAGCTTATCTTGTAAGCTTCGAGTTCGAAGTGGTTGGCCAGTACGGGCCAGGTCAGGGTCTTGTCTATGAGGTGACCCGGTATTGACTCCCCAAGTAGGGGAGTGTCGTACGTCTTCTTCGTACGGCTCTCCCCATTTAGAGTCAATACCGACACACCACTTCGAACACGAAGTTAACTTCATTGGAGATTTATAATTCAATCCAGTAGAATGTAATGACTAAGGTCAACAAAAAGTTGACAAACGTTCAATAAAATCTGCATTCTTTTCATTTCCGTCGCACATAATAAAGACCTCTGTTGGTCGAAGCTTCTCCAAGGTCGTCGCTAGCCACTAACATTCTTACGGTACCGGCCTAGAGTTCACTATATCAATGATCAACACGAGAACAGAGGCACAAGTTACACATTACCCTCAAGAGACAGTCACAGACGTTCTGACACTAAATCTTAATTTACCCCAAAAAACATTTACGATCTATCAGAGACTGCTGCTTCTGCTATGTAGAAGAGGCTACATGCTTTAAAAGTTGCAAAACAACTTTAAAAATGATTTATATGCTGAAGGAATTTGAGGAAGCAGACCTCGAGGATCAGAGTGAGATGCTGGTTTAAGGTTGATACACTTCGCTTGGACCAGCCAGACACAGGCTCTGGAATACACATATGTATATATATATACAAAGAGTTTATTTACACTTCAAAGTACCTAAGACTCAAAGAGCTGAAAGTTTGGTACCTTAAGAATCATGTAAAAATTATCACATGCTCTAAAGAATAGATAAAATAATAATTTCTGTCTTGAATGTGATCTTCAAGCATTGAATATTATCTTAAAATTACACAGTTAGTAATTACAATATACTAACGTAACAAATTCTTGACTTTACACCCAACAATAAAAAGTAAAGTAGCCTAAGTACAGTCTAGAGATAAGTTTTTATACAAATATATATAGAGAGAGATTTATATAGTTGGGTCAGCAAAATAGGTCACAAAAATTCTAGTATGGAATGCTGGCCTCAACATTCTTAGTCAGTCATAATATGGTTATCAACAGATGACCAAAATTAAACCATATTATATATACATTACATATATATATATATATATATATATATATATATATATATATATATATATATATATATATATATATATATATATATATATATATATATTTAAACTGTTGCATTGAAAATAAATAAATATTAAGCTGCTTGAGCAAATGCTAGTTTATTTCTCAAGTCAATTTGAGACCTTTTTTGCTTTAAGAAGATATGCACCATGACAGGGAGGACAGCATGTCTCGCCCTCCTGCACCATGACAGGAAGGACGGCACGTCTCGCCCTCCTGCACCATGACAGGAAGGACGGCACATCTCGCCTTCCTACACATCTGTCAAGAACAACAGCACCTCTGAAAATCAGAGGAAAAATAAGCTTAACGTCATGACACTGGACCATTGTATATCTTGGCCTTGGACTGATGACGAGTGCAATAGTGAATAAAGGAAATCCAGAAAGGGTTTTAAAAAATATGTTGAAATATCTATACGTATTTCGATTTTGATATTCTATTGCTGGAGTTTTGGTTTACTTAATCTTTTGCAAACTCTCATCGCTCGACCAAATAGCCTCGGTGAGTGTGCTAGTACCAGCTGCCAGGCAGCGAATGGAATTGTCAACAGCACCATTTCTGAACCTCTCATACAAGTAAATATTTTAGTTACAGTAGTATTAACTCTTGAGGATCACGTCCAGTATTACACGAAGAGATATTATTTAGTACTGTTGGAACAAATGCGGAATTCTGCATGTTTTGTTTCTCTCGTTTTCCCTTCCGTTAAGGGTAAGCAGCGCCTGGGAGAGGCGAAGAAGACGCAGGTCTGCTTCAAGAGAAGTAGTTCCTGGAGGTTGCTCTGCTGGAGGTTACCTTGGAGTGCTGCTCGCTCATATCACTCAGGGAGTCAGTATCCTGCAAAGGACGATGCATATTGCAGTTAATTTCCTTCAGTGGTAAGTGCGTAGCATTGAAAGGGTTTCAACACAGCTGCTGGGCATGAATCCTATACCTTTGTTTGGGTAATGAAATGTATCCTGACACATGTGTAGGTGATACATTGTGTCTGCTAGACATTAAAGTTTCTTACGACAATAAACTTTCTATTTGCACAAGCTATATATTGTAGTATTTTGACACAGGTGTTTAATAAACACTGATCAGTTACACAAACGAAACCAAAATGCATAAAATAATGAGTATAAGACGTCTGTATATTTCAGCCTCAAACAGACGAAGAGGATATCATCAGTAGGCCACACTGTCCCCTGCTTTTGCAATCGTTTGAGTTCATACATTTAGGTTCGTGTTATTGTGTCAGCTGTTGACTAATGAAGTGCATCATCCCTTAATTCTCAGGAACATACAGTGTATGTCTAGAGTATCGTGGGACACTCTGGCATCTAGCGTCATAAACACCTGACGTCGTGACATGTGTAAGGCAATGAAAGGCAGCTTCATGTATTCACAGCGAGAAATATAGTACAGAAGGTGTGTGTGAGAGACGTGGTGAAGGCAGTCAGTACTTGTCCCAGAGTCCTGGCAAACATTGAGGCTCATGTAACTGAATCATTGAAACTACCATAATCAAAAATATCAGGAAATGAAAAAAAAAACGCACTACAAGTAAAATAATGATAATGTCAGAAAATTTTTGTTTTATGATTTTATACTCGTCACAGTGGAGATTCCTGGACGTGGGTGAGGGGAAGGGCTGGGCTCTTGATGTACAGATTGGGGCTGGGCTCTTGATGTACAGAATGGGGCTGGGCTCTTGATGTACAGAATGGGACCTATCCTCCCCGTCCTTAGACCAAACCTGATTGTCTCTTGTTCCCACAGGCGCCGTATGACCCTTACGGGCTTAGCGAACCATCATTAATGTAATAATATTAACGTATGGTGCCATTTTCGTGAATAATTTTGCGTACCCAAAAGTATTAGGGATGAGAGGCACTAGAAGACACTGTTAACACGCTACATGACACTGTTAACACGCTACATGACACTGTTAACACGCTACATGACACTGTTAACACGCTACATGACACTGTTAACACGCTACATGACACTGTTAACGCGCTACATGACACTGTTAACGCGCTACATGACACTGTTAACACGCTACATGACACTGTTAACACGCTACATGACACTGTTAACACGCTACATGACACTGTTAACACGCTACATGACACTGTTAACATGCTACATGAACTTAACACGCTACATGACACTGTTAACACGCTACATGAACTTAACACGCTACATGACACTGTTAACACGCTAAATGACACTATTAACACGCTACATGACACTTTTAACACGCTACATGACACTGTTAACACGCTACATGACACTGTTAACACGCTACATGATACTGTTAACATGCTACATGACACTTAACAAGCTACATGACACTGTTAACCCGCTACATGACACTGTTAACACGCTACATGACACTGCTAACACATACATGACACTGTTAACATGTCCCATAACATGTTAACACGTTTCATGACATGTTAACCGTTTACATGTCACTGTTAACACGCTGCATGACACTTAACAAGCTCGGGACTTTTAACGCCTACTGACCTGTAACACGCTACTGACATGTTAACGCGCTACATGACACTGCTAACACGCTACATGACACTGTTAACGCGCTACATGACACTGTTAACACGCTACATGACACTTAACAAGCTACATGACACTGTTAACGCGCTACATGACACTGTTAACACGCTACATGACACTGCTAACACACTACATGACACTGTTAACATGCTACATAACACTGTTAACACGCTACATGTCACTGTTAGCACGCTGCATGACACTTAACAAGCTACATGACACTGTTAACGCGCTACATGACACTGTTAACACGCTACATGACACTGTTAACACGCTACATGACACTGTTAACACGCTACATGACACTGTTAACACGCTACATGACACTGTTAACACGCTACATGACACTGTTAACACGCAACATGTAAAGTTCTTGTAACCTATGCAGCTAAACTTTCCATAATATACGGAAAACAGTGTTCATTTAGTTAAGGAATATGTCATATAAAGCATAAAATTAGCACATGCAAAACTAAGAAATAGTGAAGAATATATCTAAACACATGCCGAGAACTCATACTTTCTCACCTAGTTAGAAACCCATAGTTCAGTGAATAAAAAATCTAGTTTCTGTAACTATACAAAAATCAAAACATGCACAGAGTCATTTCAGAGAGATTTAGTTTAATAATGGTAAGATGGTAGTGAGTTGGGTGGATGGAAGTGGCAACTTACACGCGCCGGACGATACAGTTCCATCTGTGGGTAGACGACAGTGGAGCCGCCATCTCGTTCAGCCATGGTCTGGTGCTCCTACGTGTGGAGGGGAGACCGTCAGGAGTCATTGTTGTGATGGGTGAGTCATGGTAGCAGTGGTGGTAATGGTGGTGGGAAAGTCATGGTAGCGGTGGGGGGTAATGATGGTGGGGAAGTCATGGTAGCAGTGATGGTAATGATGGTGGGGAAGTCATGGTAGCCCTGATGGTAATGTTGGTGGTGAAGTCATGGTAGCAGTGGTGGTAATGATGGTGGGGAAGTCATGGTAGCCCTGATGGTAATGTTGGTGGTGAAGTCATGGTAGCAGTGATGGTAATGGTGGTGGTGAAGTCATGGTAGCAGCAGTGGTAATTGTGATGGGGAAGTCATGGTAGCAGTGATGGTAATGGTGGTGGTGAAGTCATGGTAGCAGTGGTGGTAATTGTGGTGGGGAAGTCATGGTAGCAGTGATGGTAAGGGTGGTGGTGAAGTTATGGTAGCAGTGATGGTAATGGTGGTGGTGAAGTTCATGGTAGCAGTGATGGTAATGGTGGCGGGAAAATCATGGTAGCAGTGATGGTAATGGTGGTGGGAAAGTCATGGTAGCAGTGATGGTAATGGTGGGAGGGAAGTCTTTGGGAGCAGTGGATGGTAATGGTGGTGGGTAAGTCATGGTAGCAGTGATGGTAATGGTGGCAGGGAAGTCATGGTAGCAGTGATGGTAATGGTGGCAGGGAAGTCATGGTAGCAGTGATGGTAATGGTGGTGGGAAAGTCATGGTAGCAGTGATGGTAAAGGTGGCAGGGAGTCTGGTAGCAGTGATGGTAATGGTTGGTGGGGTAAGTCATGGTAGCAGTTTATGGTAATGGTGGCAGGGAAGTCATGGTAGCAGTTGATGGTAATGGTGGTGGGGAAAGTCCCTGGTAGCAGTGGTTGGTAATGGTGGTGGTGAAGTCATGGTAGCAGTGATGGTAATGGTGATGGTGAAGTCATGGTAGCAGCGGTGGTAATTGTGGTGGGGAAGTCATGGTAGCAGTGATGATAATGGTGGTGGGGAAGTCATGGTAGCAGTGATGGTTATGGTGGTAGGGAAGTCGTGGTAGCAGTGATGATAACAGTGGTGGGGAAGTCATGGTAGCAGTGATGGTAATGGTGGTGGGTAAGTCATGGTAACAGTGGTGGTAATGGTGGTGGGGAAGTCATGGTAGCAGTGGTGGTAATGGTGGTGGGGAAATCATGGTAGCAGTGATGGTAATGGTGGTGGCAAAGTCATGATAGCATTGGTGGTAATGGTGGTGGGGAAGTCATGGCAGCCCTGATGGTAATGGTGGTGGTGAAGTCATGGTAGCAGTGATGGTAATGGTGGTGGTGAAGTCATGGTAGCAGTGGTGGTAATTGTGGGGGGAAGCCATGGTAGAGTGATGGTAAGGGTGGTGGGAAGTCATGGTAGCAGGATGGTAAAGGTTTGGGGGGGAAGTCATGGTAGCAGTGATGGTAATGGTGGTAGGGAAGTCGTGGTAGCAATGATGGTAACGGTGGTGGGGAAGTATGGGAGCAGTGGTGGTAATGGTGGTGTGAAGTCATGAGTAGCAGTTGGTGGTAAGGTGTGGGGAAGTATGGTAGTCCTGATGGTAATGTTGGTGGTGAAGTCATGGTAGCAGTGTGGTAATGGTGGTGGTGGGAAATCTGGTAGCAGCAGTGGTAATTTGATGGGAAGTCATGGTAGCAGTGTGGAATGGTGGTGGTGAAGTCTGGTGCAGTGGTGGTAATTGTGGTGGGGAAGTCATGGTAGCAGTGATGGTAAGGGTGGTGGTGAAGTTTGGTAGCAGTGATTAGTAATGGTGGTGGGAAAGTCATGGTTTGGAGTGATGGTAATGGTTTGGGAGGGGAGTCATGGTAGAGTGATGGTAATTGGTGGTGGGAAAGTCATGGTAGCAGTGATGGTAATGGTGGCAGGGAAGTCTGGTTTGCAGTGATGGTAATGTGTGGTAAGTCATGGTAGCAGTGAAAGGTATGGTGGTGGGGAAAGTCATGGTAGCAGTGATGGTTATGGTGGTGGTTTAAGTATGGTGACAGTGATGGTAATGGTGGTGGGTAGTCAGGTGCAGTGTTGGTAATAGTTATGGAGTCAGGGTTAAAAATGGGGGGTAATAAGGAGGCCATTGTAGTCAGCAGTAATGGTCAATCGTTTGTGTGTAGTTAGCTTCTTATGTAAACAATAGGAAAGAGGAAGAGACGAGAGAGAATAATAAGAGGAACACAAGAAAGATAATGAAAAACAAAAGAAAAAACAAACATTTAAAAAGGGGGACGGTGTTTAAAGTAAAAAGGGTGAGGGAAAGGTGAGGTGAAATGAGGGAAAGGGGGGTAAGTGGGGAAGGTGGGTGAAACGGGAAAGGGGAGGGGAAATGAAGGGAAAGGGGAGGTGGGGAAAAAGAAAAGTTTTATGTCATAAATGTTTTCAAATTTTTATCTGTGAAAAATGTAGTATAGTTTTTTAATAAGTTGGAGGTGTTGCAGGACAGGTGGTCATCTTCACCAAAATGTCAGAGTGATCGGGGGAAAATGCGGGGGGGAAACTTTGAGTTACGGTGCATGCACAATTGTGACATTACCACAAAGATTGCTGGTGATGTCAGGGGCAAAATGTGTGGTCCATTTAGCAATTTTCTTATTAAAAAAATTCAGGGTTTGTTAAAATTTATCGTAGTGCCCGCTATTTTCTGTTACTTCAAAGTTTTTTTTATTTCCTTGTTGCCGGGATGGAAAAGCAGTATGACGCCCAAAAAAATTAGGGGCGTTTGTATTCTTTCCCACTTTTTATCGCCCCCAAACCCCAAAGGGGGTTTTTTGTTGGAAGATCTGAAATTTTCCTTCATTGTCGTGATAACCCATCATCCAAGTAGGTTTCCGTCATGTGACTGAGACCTTCCGTAGGTTCAGCGGTCGGCAGAGTAAAAAAAATAAGCATTATAAGATGTTTTGCGAGTCTAGTGTAAGCTTGCTGATGCTAAATCTCTTAACTAGCTGCCTGGTAGATACAAAGTTGTCAAGAGCATGTCATTACATCTGTGTAACCATTGTTCTCCAGGTAGAAATGTGCTAAGACACGGAGTGCGTCTACTCTCTCTCTATTTCTCAGTTCCTAAACCCACGACAGATAGATACAAAAATCTTTGTGATGAATGGTTTAGAAAACCGACAAGTTGAAGAATTGAGACACTTATGCAACACATGGGAATCTTTATTGAAGAAACGTTTCGCCACACAGTGGCTTCATCAGTCCAATACAAAGTAGAAATGGGTAAGGAGAGTAGAAGTTTGAGGTAATCAGTCCCTCAACCTGGAATCGATGTGTTCAGTCCATCACTCTTGTAGGAAGTGCAGCATAGGGCCAGAGAGGTGGCTTATATACTGCGGTGAGATGAGTTGAAGCAGGAGGAGGTGAGATCACAGTGGGACCTGCCACTAGTGTAAGTGGCGAAACGTTTCTTCAATAAAGATTCCCATGTGTTGCATAAGTGTCTCAATTCTTCAACTTGTCGGTTTTCTAAACCATTCATCACATCTGTCAGACACTGCAACATCATGGAATCTTGGTACAAAGACTTCAACGCTTGCCCAACCTTTGGACGACGACCTACTTACACTAGTGGCAGGTCCCACTGTGATCTCACCTCCTCCTGCTTCATCTCATCTCACCGCAGTATATAAGCCACCTCTCTGGCCCTATGCTGCACTTCCTACAAGAGTGATGGACTGAACACATCGATTCCAGGTTGAGGGACTGATTACCTCAAACTTCTACTCTCCTTACCCATTTCTACTTTGTATTGGACTGATGAAGCCACTGTGTGGCGAAACGTTTCTTCAATAAAGATTCCCATGTGTTGCATAAGTGTCTCAATTCTTCAACAAAAATCTTTGTTGATGAACCACTGAAATATAAGCGTCATCAATACTATTCCCGCAATACACAAATAACCTTCACATAGGAGAGAGGAGCTTACCACGAAGTCTCGGTCCGACTTGGACCATTTACAAAGTCACAGTGTGACTTTGTAAATGGTCCAAGTCGTCGTAAGTTCCTCTCTCCTATGTGCGGGTTATTTGTGTATTGTTCCAGTCATAGTTATTACTCTTGCAACTATGTTATCTATCGATTACTTTTTTAATAAACAGTAATAACTGTTGCATTTTTTATCTAGATATTACGGTTTTTATTTCCAATTGTTTGCTCGAAAGGTTATATTAATTTCCAAGCCTGACCTCAAAAATGGGCTGCTAGACAACAACTATAAATTACTGAAGATATAAAAAGTTGTTAAAGACAAGACAAAAGTGAGGAAATAAAATAAGGTTAAGACAATCTAGCACCAGCTATTAGAGGAGATTCAACACTAAGTAAAGAACTAACTCCTTCGTTGACCTTATACTTCCTTTCGTTTATGATGTGTAAGCAGACAGAAGGGATTTACAGGATATAAGTCTATATAAGCAGTAGAATATCTAAATCTAGCTCTAAATTAATTTTATTGCTATCAGGGAGAAAAAAAAAATTGAAATATAGACCAAATAATCATCGTATAACACACCATAACAAAAAGTTCATTCGCCACTTTTATTTCTCTCATACATTCATTCGCCTATGTATACACCCTTTCTATTTTTCTATTTCCCTCTTGTTATTTCTATTTGTCGGTATCAACAGCTGTGTACATACGTCAGAGATATGCTGAGAAGACAGGGCCTTTGAAGAGTAGAAGCTGTCAGCACGCAGACTTCTGATGGGTGCTCTGACTGTGGTCTCATCGCAGGAGCGGGCCATGCTCATGGTCCTGCAAATTTGGGTGCATGAGGGATGCCATTAATCAAGAGCACACAGTTAACTACATGAATTATGTATAAAAGTCATGAATTTTGTGTAAAATTAATCAATTTTACACAAAATTCATGACTTTTACATAAAATTCTTGTTCGTGTTTATTAAAGTTAAAAACTTTACTGGCTTTATTTTATTTTTTATCAATTTTTTTCCAGGTACACGAGAGGAAAAAATATATTCGTAAATATTCAGGAAAACCATTAAAGCTTCTGAAGGTCAATTACCATTTAATATTTTTTTTTTATTATACAATACAAGGTGTTCAAAAAGGGAAAAAAATCGAGTCAAAATTCAAGTCATTTGCACTGTAATGTCTGAGAATTTCCAGCAAGACAGCTGTTGCATGAATGATGGTGAAGGTGTTGTCTTTTTTGTCATTACACAGGTTTTAACATGATCTCCGTCTACTCACCGTTCACCATCTCCTCTAAAGGAAAAGTTGACCCCAAACTCTGAGTTGAGGTCGTGGTTGCTGTGGTGGTGGAGCCTGTCCGTGGAATTATCGTGGTTGCTGTGATGGAGCCTGTCCGTGGAGTGGCTGTGGGCGTTGTGGTGGAGTCTATCTGTAGAGAGGTCGTGGTTGCTGTGGTGGAGCCTGTCCGTGGAGTGAGACCTGTTGGAGTCCATATGGGGCTGTGGATGCAGCTGATGCAGGAAGGCATTCGCCAGATGCTCCCGTGAGTGTGATCTAGACCGGTTGATCCTGGCACTGCTGTGGACTGAAGCAGCTGCTATGCTCTCCTCTGCTGGTTCTGTCCAATGCTGCAGCAGGAGCTGGCTGGTCCAACAGGTCGACGAATGCCTGCTGAGAGCTAGCCAGGTCGGAGCGAGCATCTGCCCCAATCATGACACGAGGTTCACCATTCTCCCCGCGACTCACTACACATGGACGGGGAGGTGCTGGCCCCTTGACACGAGGGATCAACTGTTGGAGGAAGCGAATGTCAATGTGCATGATATACAACATACAGAGGTTGACATGTTAGTATTACTCAGGTTTCAGATGGGCTCACTTAGGACACTGAATTAATGATTCGCTCCATCAGTCTTATTGTTTCAATGGGAATCATTCTTGAGTGGCAAGTGTGTGTTCTGCCATACCTTCTAAACTCTGTGACGCTTTTTATTAATAATAAACATAATAGTAACAACAGTGTTCAGATTATTATTATTATTATTATTATTATTATTATTATTATTATTATTATCAGTAGTAGTAGTAGTAGTAGTAGTAATGTTTTCGACTAGAACTATTTTCTATGTTCTCAATGTCAAATAATTTCCCAACTATTCGGTCTCGTGTCTTATCCTCATGTAACATGTCCTTCCTCACTCTCTATCTCTCTCTCTCTTCCCTAGATGCACTGACACTCCCAAAGTTTAGTATAAGGAAGACTTACATTGAATCCTGAGAGAATAAAAAAAATCCTCTGCATTACTAGAATACTGTAAAGTTCCTCTTTGTAAACAATGACATTGTCTGTAGTTACGCTCACTCCTTCCCTCCAAGAGTCGAGATTATTCCTGTAGGATCCCCCATGAACTGTAACTCTTGCTGTTACAGATATCTATATTAGTCCAAGCCCTCATATTTCTTAAACAGAAAATAATTTCCCTTGCACACAACATCACACATGAAACATCAAGACATTACGACACAGGTGTGTGTAATGCATGAGGCTCGATCCTCAGATATCGTATATGGAAGCACAGAATGTCATGACCCGACTATGACAGGGTTGCTGCACTCTTCTGTCTTGTCTGGATGTCAGAGTCATATCCCTAAAGAACGATCAAGTCTCCAGAGTTTAACACACACACACACACACACACACACACACACACACACACACACACACACACACACACACACACACACACACACACACACACACACACCACGACAGGTGGAGACAAAACTCACCACAGGAGGAAGGGTGGTGTGTACCCCCACAGAACGGTCCTCGGCGAAGGACGCTTGAGAGTGTCGTCCCACACTTAACTCCGACCTGGGGGCTCGATGTAGCCGCTCCTGCTTCTCGTAGCTCATTGGAGGCTACAGAGAAAGAAAACATAAATTTAACAATACTAATAAATTTATAATGTATCTGGCAATAAGATTTAAACTTCATAAGGTATCAGAATGTTACATTCAAGAGGAAAACCGAATTGATCATCCCGGTGGAAGGTAAGACACCCAAGTCTCATTATAACTGATAAGACTTGAAACAGATGTTAAAGAAGTTATCAAGAAGTAGGCAGATCCATAGCCTCTGAACATTACTATAAAGAGTCTCTCTACCTTAAATGTGAAACAAAATGCTTAGGTAGTAGCTGTTAGCACACTGTAGCACCACCTAGCCATAATACTCCTCCCCACACACTCGTCACCTTGACCCTACAGGTCATTAACACTTCCTTAGTAGCTTCTTCATAACATTCTTCAGACTAGAGGTTCTCATCTGGTGGTTCACGAACACTTAGGGATCCATGAAAAGGATTCACGGGTTCCATGGAAGGATTCAAGGGTTCCATTTTTTGTAAAAGACTTCAGTTTAGTTAGATTTTGATATTTTTTCATTCTGAATAAGTATTGGTTGGCCAAACACTATAGGGCATCATACAAACATCATCCTCGCCAAGTTATTAGGAAGACGAGAAAGTCCCATCGATATAAATGAAAGAAAACAGAACCTGCCAGTATAAAAAAAAGAGTTGGTGTGTTGTCAGTAGTTGATCACACATATAATAATAACCCATAAATCTGCTGTTTCGTGCACACAGCTGGTCATAGCTTATTTATTTTTTAGCATTATCTCATTCCAGAGGGTTTATTTTCTTCAGGCCTACCGGCTTAAGCCGGTGGGAGAATTGGACCTTCCTCGCATAGGCCAGTAGGCTGTTGCAGTGTTCCTTCTTTTTTATGTTCTTATGTCAAAGATAAGCATTACTCTAGCCCGGTGTCGACATACTGTGGCATGCAAAGAGTACGTAACCTTTATTCGGCGCATGTACACGCCCTCATTTACAGGCTATCTCCCCCAACCAGCGAACCAGGTTGCTAAGAGTTGATGATGGGGCCCCGTCGTTCAACTAGTGACCAGGTTCTAGCCAATAAGAAGATGGTTTTGGCAATCGCAGAGGTTATGTGGGTACCGCTCTCCTGTCTGCCCTTGTCATTCCCATTCTAGAGCTGGTTGAAGCACGGTCTGCTATCTTGTGGCTTCTATTTCTGCCTTGCTTACCGTGGAGTGCACTATACTTATCACTGTACATAGTGTACATATTGCTGTTCTAAATTGGTGAAGGATAATACAAGTCTAAACTTTTTCTGCTGTGTTTATTTTGCTCCCATTACACCCGGGATAACAGGCCATTTGGAATCCTGGGTTGTAATACATACCATGAAGGAGGTGGCATGGAGCCGGGAATGGTCGATGGAACTCTCAGAAGAGGTCTCGTGAATCATGGCTCGACGGTCGAGTGTGCTGGACATGCCGGCGCTGCGAGCCCTCAGGAAGGTGGGAGCGCCAGGCATCTGTCGAGAGTGAGTACCATGCTCTACATATAAATGTAAATCACATCGAAATGCACAAAAGAGGGAGTTAATGATGCTACATTAACACCAAAGTGAATTAAATACGTAGGAACCAACATGGAGAAACTAAAATCAATAGTCCTCTTTAGCTGACTGAAGAGTACCTCAGTGCTCTTCTACTTCATTCTTTCCATGTGAGTTTGTTCACATCACATTTCATTATATAAAGCTTAGATAAAAAATATATTTATTTGAGACATCAGGAAAGCCATCAGACCATTAACACTTTCAAACGTCTCACATCTGTGAGTTTAGCAGAGGCTCCTACCTGTCCCATTTTATTCCTGGTGTTTTTTCTGGCCCGGAGGCAGCAGAGGGCGAGACAGAGCAGCAGCAGCACCACTAGTAGGGAACCCACCGTCACCAACACTATCAGTAGAACTGTTAACATACACACACATGAGTACTTCACAAACACAAGTCATTTAAATTTAAGATCTTGGGAAATGCATAAAACGAGTCTTTCAAGATACATATATGTGCAGTGAAGCAGAAATATAATGTCTACCTCTAGAAAATACACAAACACATATTTATATTACTGTAATGTGCAATTACAGAGCAGATACGAGATCAGGTTTATTCTAATATTGCATATGTTAGTAAAAGAACACTCAAAAAAGTTTATTTTCAATAATAAAGTGAAAAACAGAGAGGTTTGTAAGATGATTAAGCTGACACACCTTGAGGTTGACCTACCCATGAGGTTGACCTACCCTTGAGATTGACCTACCCTTGAGGTTGATCCACCCTTGAAGATGACTTACCCCTGAGGTTGACCTGGCAGCGGTCGCCACTGAACCACTGTAAGCAGCGGCACCCGATGGAGCCGTCGGGCTTGGAGACGCACTCTCCCTGGAAGTTACACCTGGCACACTGCTCTGTTTGCACTGTGGGACAAGAGAGTTGATGCTAGTGCCGTGAAACTCCCAGTTCATTTGTAACAGGGAAAAATTAGGTGAATACATTTATCAGCTCGTTTCTCTCAGTGAAAAAATGGAAGTATTAGTCACCTCTGTGAAGTTATTTCGGCAGCTATGAAAACATTAATTTAATAACTTGTTTGTTGTGTTTGTCAGGGCACGAAAATTAGCCAATATTAATGAAACAAATAGAGGATTTGAGTAAATTCATATATATAATGCACTGCTGTGTAAATCTTTGGAATTACATTTATGAAAAATGCTAAACCTTTAAAGGCTATAAAGCATCTGGGGAATGGAAGATAATAAATTTTGATTCGAATTAGGGGAGAGTAGCTCTAATTCCATGGAACACGAGCCCTTAACAAGCATCAAGGTACCCCTCTGTCAAAATATAAATATTGTTTACAAGAAACACTAAACCTATGCGTGTCATTCAACACAAGGAGTGGTTGAAGCTCCAGTCACTTCAGGAAAGATCGAGCAACAAAGTCCAAAATTAAGTCATTCCAGCATCACCAAAGAAGTTGCTGGAACTGTCTGGAAGTGCAATAAATGCTTCTCACCTGCACATTGCCTTCCTGGCATGTCATCCATATCTTTGAAGCCGTCCTTGCATGCACAGAGATAGGAACCAGGGGTGTTGAAGCAGTTAGCATAGCTGGAACAATCATTGTGATCTTCGTGGGAACATTCGTCGAAGTCGTCGGCGGCCAGCACCGACACTTTCCTGTTGGCGACGATCTCTGAATCCCCCAGAGAGTAGTTGGTATCCTTCAGCGCTAGTTCCAGTGCCTCCCTCACCACAGACTCATTCATGTCATCATTGAACTCTTCTTCTCCTTCTGTCCTTGACAGCTCTACCTTGATGTCCACTACCAGCCCGTGTTCCTGAAGAAAATGTTAAAAGTGACTGGAATATCAGACTCATAAGTGACTGAAGGCGTCTTGCCACAGTATGATTGTCTCAGACTATTATCTGTGGATGTGTATTCACCTCATGCATGATTGCCTAATTTTTCATTTAAAGAGTCATTGGTTAATAATGTATAAATGCACCAGTGGCTTTTGGATTCTTGTAGTGGTGCTCAGGTATTATACATCTTTCCTGAGGAATTAGACGCATGTGCATCACCTGGGTATCTATTGAAGAAACGTGCCAAAACTTCAAATAAATATACCCAGGTGTAGCAAAAGTGTAATTCCTCATCCTGTATATCATTATTATAATTACACTGTGTACCATTATTATAATTACACATGTCTCTTAATACTCAGACCTTAACACAAGCACCAGGAATAGTAGTACTCACTACATGTACTGTATCAAGAAATGATGAGTTGATGCTAACTTACCATTGGCTCTACGGAGACGGGCATAGCTAGTCTCTTGACATCAGTGAACTTAGTGACAGTAGCACCATGGAATCGTGGTCCGAGGCCGGAGCCTCTCATGGCCTGGTCGATCCCATGGACAGTGATGTCTGAGAGGTCCTGCGTGATGGGATGGCTGGTGTTGTCAAGCACAGGGTCAAACACCAGGTCGATGCCACTCATTTTGTCGAGCAGGACTTGCACATTGTAGGCGAGGGATTCTGCAATGAAAGAGTTTGGGATCATAAAGCTTAGAAGTTTCTTTAAATTGAACAGTTTTAACGTAACCTGATCAAATTAGAACAAGAATAAAAAGAGGTGGCTTTTTTAAGTTTTCTGACTTGTAATCTAAGTGCTAGTTATTATTATTGTTATCTGCCTTCTTTTATTATTATTTACCTTTTATTATTATCTGCCTGTATCCATAACCTTCCTCTCTGTTATTACTTACGTTTACAGGTGTCATAATCACTCTTGCGTGAGTAGCCTGCACGACAGACGCAAGTATGAGCACCTCGTACCAGCCTGCACACCTCATGACGTCCAGCCGAGCACTGAGGCTCACACTGTGACACTGGAGCCCTGAGAGGACCTCCCATGTTGATCTCCTGGTCGGGGCTCTTGCTCTCAACTACTCGGCTAATCTCGTTGTCCTCTGCTATACCTAGAGTAGATTCACTCAGCACCACTTCCGCATCTCCAGGAAGACGAAGTTCAGAATCATCTGTGTGAGGATCGACAGGGAAGGATGGGTAGTTGGCTGGATCAAAGGGTGAGCCAGGTGGGTATGTGGTGGGGTCTCTCATCTCAGCACCACCAACTGTGGCAGTGATGTAGCTGACACGGGTGGCAGTACCCACTATGGTAGAGATGATAATTCGCAGTGGCAAGGTGCTGCGGATCACGTGAGTCAGCGTGGATGTAACTCCCTCAGTGAAAACTACCTCGGTGTGTGTGGCAGTGATGGTGCGGGCTGATGTTTCTACCCGGGTGACAAAACGGGTGATGGTACCTCCTGGCCCCATCACTACTGAGGTCAGGTCACCTTCTGGCTCATTGTTAGCAACCGGGCGGGTAAACAGTGGCCCAAAGATGGTAGTGGCACCGGACATGACAGTGGAGGAGCCTCTGAAGACTGTGGTGCGGCCACTGTTGATACCATGACCCATAAGGATGGTCTCCGAGCCAGACACGACGGTGCTCTCAAGTTCAGGTGGGGGTTGTGGACGCTCGTCTTCAGGAGGTCCTGAAATTATACCAACACCGACTGTGGAGTGAAGCACAAACTCGCCATGAGCAGGAGCCACGATGATAGGCGGTGGTTGATGTAGACTGGGAGTGTGGGCTGGGATGACCTGAGTTCTCACAATGCGATTGTCACCTTCAATGCTGACGATGGTCTGAGGTCCAACTCGTGATGGCTGAGGGTGATGTGGTGGAAACCTTGATGACACAACTTCTGATTGAGTATCTCCTGCTGCAACTTGGTCTGAAGAACCTTTAGGGGGAACTATGAGGAGAATTGATTTTCTGTCTCCAGGTAGGGGCACACGAATTGGCACGGGTACTGGCCTCGTCTCGTCTTGCAGGACCGGGTGACTTGGGAGAATGAAAACAGGTTCTCGGTCTACTTTGTGTCCCTGAGGTGGTGAAGGGGCAGGCTGGCCTGGCGGTGGTAGGTCATTAGGACCAACACCACCAAAGAAAATGGTCGGTGACCCGGAAATGACCGATACCCGAGTGGGACCAAGAGGGTCAACTGTCATGGCAGTGAATCCCAACTGCGTTTTAGGAGGAAGGAAAGTCGGGCCGAAACCCTCCATCTCATCAATGTTGACTGGGAGTGAGAAACTAGGTTTCTCAGCTACTGGATTTTCAGAAGCAATTCTAATGAAGCCAGGATTTAAGCTGGGAGCAGCAAATCCTTTATGTGGCGTGTGAGCATCTGCAGGAAACCTTGCCTGAAGAGGACTGTCAGGCCGTCTAAGTGGGATGAAGCCATGTTCTGGACCTTCTGTACGGTCATTAGTGCTGCTGAGGGAGGCTCCAACTCCTCCAACTGGAATGAGCAGAGGTTCCCTTTGGGCTACAATGAGTGTGTTGGAGGGAAGAAGTGGAGGATTTATTTTCCTTCGGTTATCGTCATCTGACTTTGGTTTGATAAAGTGGTTATTTAAATTATTGCGTATGATACCTGCCACTGCTGTAAACATCGGACCTAGATCTAAGTTAAGGCCATTGTCGTTGGATCCGGTCATACTTAATCCTACAGAAGAGACTTCAGCATCAGCAGAATCAACACGAATAGGGATTACTGCAGGTTCAACAGGAGGGATGTCGGTGGGTGGCACATCACTCGATTCATCCACCAGGTCGTCTCTTGTTGGGAAGACAGATACATTGCGCAGGGAAGTATCTGTGACTTCTAATGCAGAGATTTCCACAGATGAAGAGGAATCAGCGAGGCTGCTGTCAGGATTAACTGTGGGTGACTGCGACACAACTGCCGGGTTTATGGGGAGTATGGGGGAGGATGAGACAGGACTAACAGATGCCAGATAAGAAGACTTGAGAGAAGAGAGGTAAGAGGTGTCAAAAATAACAATAGTCTGCCCGGTCAACACTGACGTCGAGAGGTCTTCAGTGGGTCGCACTAACAAGGTGGCCGAAGTAGTGGAGTCGCTCACCACAAAAGTGCCGGATGCATCACCCTCCTGGACATGGACTGTGGCCTGAAGACCTTCCTCCTCGCTTGGGCCAGCAGGTGCAGTCGTGGCCTTGGACACCATAATAGAACTTCTCAGTGAAGATAGATATGATGGGTCAAGCTGGACACCAGCGCCTCCTCCTAGAGAAGGAACCTCAGCAGTAGCTTCAAAGGAAGGACGTTCGAACCGTCTTGTAGGAGTGATGAGGAGTGATGCCGGGATTCCTGTGGTGCTTATGGTAGAGGTGAACACCTTCGTCTCAGTCTGAAGACTTGAGTTGACGACACCGTTGTGAAGAGTAGTGTAGTATGTGTATGTGGTAAAGAAGGTACGCAACTGCTTGTAAACATTGTCTCTGAGCTTGACATAAGCGATAGTTGGTGGCTGTGTTGCGCCGACAGCTGTAGGTGTCACCTGCCAGGACAAGTAAGAGTTTCTAAAGGAGATGAGTTCCTCAGAATTCAAGGCTGAAGTCAAGGATTCTGTGACGATATTTGATGAAACCTCTGTCCTAGATGTAGTGATGGTGCGGGTGCCCTGTAGAATGGTTGTGAGGTAGGTGAGGGTAGTATATATGGTCATGGTGGCATACAGCACCAAGCCATCTTCATCAGCAGCCTCGTAGTCAAACGAAGCCTCTGGGTCAACAGTGGGAGTTGACATCAAGTCAAACTCGTCACCAACATCAAGACTTGGAGACTCTGTCATGTAAGCTGTCTCCGTCACCACCTCTGAGGATACTACAGTGCTGCTGCTCACCAGGGTGGTGATGCCAGTTACTGCAGTGGTGTAGTAAGTGAGGGTAGTGAAGTAAGTCTTGATGACTAGTGAAGACCTATTGGGGATAAAGGTGGCTCGCTGTACCGATGGTGCCTCGGTGATAACCACCTGAGTGAGAACCTCCTCCGAGGTCACCACCCGCTGGTCGGGCTCCACTCTGCGAGTGAAGGTTTGCGTGGTGAAGTAAGTGTGAGTGTCGAACGTCACCTGTAACCATAAAAATCAAAGTAAGTTTTAAAGTATCTCTTGCCTTATGACATATTTAAGAAACCATGAGGACGAATACTTCAGAACCAAAGGAATAAAAACTGCATAACCAAAACACAAGGAATAAATACTGCATAATTCAACCTCATTGGACTTCATCAAAATATGTTACAGTGTACACAAATTATAGTCATAACACATGTGTGATAGTGTTTTCTGATAACATCTCAAAATGGCGTCTTGAGGGAGGAAGTGTACCTCGATGTTGCTGGAAGACTCTTAAGCAAAGGAACTTGAGTTATCCTCCCTTTTCTCGATTCAAACTTGTTTATCTCTTATTCGGCGAATGCTCCTTATGGGTTTAGCGCTCCCCCATGATAATAATAATCCCGTATTAATAAAAGACTTACACAAATCTGCATGAAAATCATTACATTCGTGGGGAGGCGCTAAATGGTTTTGATCCAAGGAAAGAGAAGGGAATCTCTAACTCCTTGTTTCATATCCACACAGAGATTTCAAAGCTCTGTCAGATACACATCTTCCAGCATTTACAACACTCACATCACACTTTCGAAGCACAACACCTCCACTCCTCAACTCCTGACGTCTGTAGCTTTTAAGAACATAAGAAAGGAGGAACACTGCAGTAGACCTGTTGGCCCATACTAGGCAGGTCGTTCACAACCCACTAACAGAATAAATGCTATCCAATCACCCAAGCAATAAGCTTTGAATAAGCTGTCTACCCCTTGAAGGGATCTGCACACTGGCACCGACCTCTGTCCTCTCTATGTAGTTGCTAGCGTCTGGGATGGGGACAGTCACCACGTTCTCCACAGTCTCCTTGCTGGTCACCACGAAAGGTTTATTGCCAGCCAGGAAGGTGTTGTAGTAGGTGTAGGTGGTGAAGTAGGTGGTGGTCTGGCAGGCACCATCATCACCACCTGCCAGCTGGGTCACCTGCATTAGTGACTATATTAATGAACAAATCTCTGCAGTTCAAGCACCTACCATCAGAGATAACTTGGAATGTCCTGTAATAAATCACAACAAACACAACATTCGTGTGTTAGTTATGAAGCCTGATAATTTTTTTACATCTTATTAAGCAGTTTATGTAAGAAAGTTCATCACCAGATTAATTCCTCGATTGTTATAATAATCGTCCTTGTTCTAATCAAGATGTTGTTTAACTATCAGAAGATATATATATATATACAATAAGAAAGTCACTGGACTTTCAGATGACAATGATTATGCATTGTATATACTATAAATAATGTAGTATGATGCTACAGACTCTATAGCATCATATGAATTTAAACTACATACAATAAGGAAAACGGCTGGTTGTAAAAATACTACCTGTATGTATTAGAAGACCTACGTTATTAATTTTTAGGTAAGTCTCCAATAGCCGAAATTTACAGAAAACCACATCACTTCTTAATTCTAAAGAAAAGGAGACAAAACATTTTGTGCTCTTTACACATGCTGTCTATGAGAGGTGTAGTAACGCAAACAATGTATGTACTTCTAAGACGAGCTGGTACCCCACCATACCTCTTCAACTCTACTCAAGAAACTCAGAAGACTATTTTCTATACAAAGTTACTACAGAAAATCCCGATGATCTGAGAACAATTCAGCTGTTGCAGAATGAACTGAAGTATAGGTTCCACTTGTGGTGTGGGTTGACCAGTTTAGAAAAGCAGTACAGTCATGAGTTACTACTACAGGTGTGGGTTACCTTGGAGAACGAGAGTGAGGTGAGGAAGGGTAGGTTATCATGGGGAATGTTACCTTAGCTGTGACACTGGGAGGAGTGATGGAAGTCAAGAAGTAGTCATCATGGGTTACAACACTGGTCTGAACCTCAAGGCGGGTCATATCCCCTGACCCGGCCATCTGGCTAATGTAAGTCACAGTGGTCACGTAAGTATAGCTGAAAGGAACGACGGTGTCAGGATGTTCCAAATCCGGCTCCAGTCTCAAGTAAAGCGAGTCCAGGAACAGGTTAGGAGTCACTAAGGGCGGTTTGACCTTCCCCTTGTTAGTGATAAAGTCAGCGACAGCCAGAACCGAGGCGAGAAGGTTCATCTGTGAGCTGTCATCCGTCTCGAAGTCAATCATCGTGTCTGGCACAATCTCCAAGATTACTGTCTTCTCCTGGTCTAAGGGGCTTGGGGGAGGATGTCCATTGTAGGAACGAGCAAAGAACATGGGGGCAGCCCCAGAGATGAGTTGAGTGGTGAGTTGCCTGCCCTTGAATGTAGGTCGACCACCTAAAGCCTGTTAGTTTGGGTTAGTTGACTACAATCATGCTATTAACAGTACGGAAAAAAAATAGCTGAATAGTCTATTGAAGAATTATGTTTCTTTTTGAACAAGAAATTTAAGAAAAGTACAAATATAAAAAATTTCTCTAAACAAAGTCAAAATTTTGACGAACAAAAGAGAAACAAAAGGAAAATAATTGTATTACTTTAAATTATGTAGAAGACCAATCTATTAAAACCAATAGAATGGCTCCAAGAAAGAAAATGAAACATAGTCATAAAATGGTAATCTATAGCAATAAAGGATAGTTTATTATGGTAAATATGAAAGGAATAAATATGAAATAAGATGAAGAGAAGGTATAAGAAAAAAGATATAACACAGTGTTAGTATTGTTAGCAAGTAGCATAAAAAACTGCTATAACCTTTACCAAATATAATTAGCATAACCTTAAATAAATCTCCTCAAATAAATGTGTCCATGACTATGCCACATTAGAATATACAATAGAGTTACACGTGTATATTTCAGTGCTTAAAACCCAAATAATAACACCACTATACAGCAACAAAAAGAATATATTTGATTTCCTCAGCATTGTATAATTTTTAAGTTTCCCCTCGTACCTCCCACCAGACTGAAATCCTGTTAAAGTATCTGAAGCAGGACTCGGTTTTGAAATGAGCTGAAAATTAAGTAAGTTTATTTAGGTACAGGTAAACATAAATGCAATTATCATACCTATAATAATAATCTTTATTTACTACAAGCACATGTGCAAGGTATACAGGCCTAGCTGACATCAATGACACTACTATATAGAAAACCACTTTTTATGCTGAGCATTTTGGGCACATTAGGTCAGTGTCCCAGGATGCGACCCACACCAGTTGACTAACACCCAGGTACCCATTTTACTGATGAGGAACATAGACAATAGGTGGAAAGAAACATCCCCAATGTTTCTACTCTGGCTGGGATTCGAACCAGGCCCTCGCCATGTGAAGCAAGAGCGTTAGCCACCAGGCCACCAGAGGATAATTTAAGATATCTTAATCTTAGCCCCCAAAAAATCAGACAAAGTGACAACAGCTTTTAGCCTAACAGTCAAATGTACATTTAATAATCAGCTGAAAATCTTGTGGTTTAAACTGATATTGGTTAGTAAATCATAAGTTTGAAAATAAATACACACTTAAATACACAGATTAAAATCTGTTGTCCTACCTCAGCCCAGCCTTGTCTCTGGAGTACTACCACCCCTCCACACCCCTCCACCACCACAACCCTCCACTACCACAGCCCTCAGCCCCTCCACCTCTACACCTGTCCCACATGACCATACACGCATCTCACCACCCCCCCACATCCCCCCACCTCAACCCACCACCCCCACATCCCCCCACCTCAACCCACCACCCCCAATCCCCCCACCTCAACCCACCACCCACACATCCCCCCACCTCAACCCACCCCCCCCACATCCCCCCACCTCAACCCACCACCCACACACTACTACCAAAAATAGTAAGTTTTTGGAACATCTCGCTATCGCATTATACAATTAAAATCACTCCACTATGTGTAAATGGAACCAAACTATGTTATAAAAGATTAAATTATTATCACCTGTCAACACTGCTGACCACTAATGTGTTTAAGACAGTCTTTATAAAATTAAATGCAAAAGCTATTTAGAATAAATGCAATTTAAATAAAAAAAACTCGAACCATTATTAAAATAAATTGTTTTAACATCTATTTTTTTTATACATGGTCATACAATACAGTATCTAAGGAAAGCTTTAGATGTATGTTGATGCGCCCTTTAATAATGATTAATACTAAATTACCTTCCAGTATCTAATAATACAGCAAAATCTAACAATTACATTAGTTTGTGATTAATAATAAATCATTTTCTTTAATACAAAAATATTTACCTAAGTTGGTGGTTATAATAACACATTTTCTTTAGTTTTAGGTGCTGAACTGTTTTCTATTCTTTTCATATGGGTAACTTCTCGAAAAAGGTTACATGATGTCGGTGAAGGAGCTGCTGATCCAGGGAATTAGATCTGACCTCCCTTTCCACGGATCAAACATGATTGTCTTTCATATGCCCAGAAGCTATATAAGCCCTGCGGGCTTAGTGCTTCTCGGTGAGTGTAACAATATAATAATAATAATAATAATAAAATTTACCTTGGGGTGAGCAGTTTCCGTGGGCGTGAAGAGGAGCATGTGGTCAGACAAGGTCGAGGGCGGTAGAGTGATGGGTCGTCGGAATTTCTCGAAATTATTGGTAACTAGGTGATCGTGAGGCAGTGGCGAGGCAGTCTTGTCACCTGTGTCAATGACACAAAGATTAGAATCATGTGAATGGCTAACATTTCTTAATCTCTTTATTTAGCCAGATTCGGAAACTAAACTCGAATGGCTACTTATATATGTCTGATATTCAGGAATTATACCTTTCTTTTATCAGTCTAACAGTATAATTATTTCATAAAAAAATAACACACTAAGGTGATTATCTCTTAGCATATACGCACTGACTTAATTAATATTATAGGGATTAAAATAAACTTTAGTGCAGAGGTGAAATACAGCTTAAGCTACCATACAAATATTCACAAACTCATGCTGTGCTATCTGTGAATGACAAACTAAATCACTTGACAAAAAATTGTGTATATACATGATATTCCTTAATTACCTACAGTGCTCACCAGTGGTGACAGTCGTAGCTCACTTCCAGTTAATTTATTGAGTATAGAAACCTGTGAGGCTTCAACACTGATGCAAGTAAATTGTGAATGATTAATATGTGAGGGTGCAAAGGGTTCTGAGGGTGATAGCCAGGGTGCTGGGGATGATAGCCAGGGTGCTGGTGGTGATAGCCAGGGTGTTGGGTGATAGCCAGGCTGCTGGTGGTGATAGCCAGGGTGCTGGTGGTGATAGCCAGGGTGCTGGGGGTGAAAGCCAGGGTGCTGGGGGTGATAGCCAGGGTGCTGGTGGTAATAGACAGGGTGCTGGTGGTGAGAAAATAGAGGAAGAGGGCTTCAGAGTGGCCAGGGTACGAGGCAGGTGGGATAACATAAGGGAAGAGGATTTGTTTACTGCTTACCAAGAGAAAAATAAGGGGAGCAAGAAATTACCTTTAGTTACCCATATATTATAAATTGTTTTCTATGAATATTTCTACACGTAAAAGAATGGGACTTTCTAACTAACAACAAAATACACAATGCAAACTATCAGATATGCAGACTGTTTCAATTCTTTATTTTCATAAAAAATGTGCAACTCAACGGTATTATTTCATTGGTTTTAGATTTTGTTAGCTCTTTTCTTGACAAAACACATCTAATCTCACTTATCTCTCTCCTCGATTGTAATACTTTTGTTACAATTACAAATACAATGAGAGGTGTATATCTCTTAGTATATATATGCTAAGAGTTTAATCCTTTTATTTGGGATTAAAGTAACCTTGACTGGTGATGTGCGACTCAGAACGAAATAAACTAACCAATCCACTATAATTCTGTCGCCTGAAAGTACCTGATGAGAATTAGTGCCTAAGAGAACTACAGCTTGTGTTAAACATTACAAGCAGCAGGGTAGATGTTATAAGCCATATGCTACAGAAGTTTACATATTTACAAGTGAGGACCCTTGGTGTATCTTGCTGTTAGCTAGTTTAAATTCCACCCTCTTACTGTCATCTATGTCAAGGAAACTTGGCATGACCTTGCTCAGTGACCCAGGGTAGCCTTGATCTCACAAAGTGAGCTAGGTTAGCCTTGACCTTGTGGAGTGAGGTAGGTTAGCTTTGACTGTGTGGAGTGAGCTAGGCTAGGTTTGACCTAGGGCAGCAATATCTACACATTGCTATCTACGATTTCAAACGGGGACACAGGCTAACTTTGATCACATGCCGTGGCAATGTACAGACTAGCCTGGGGCCTCTCGCTGCGCATGAGCTAGATGAGCCTGGCACATGCACTTACCAGCGACAATGACCTCGACGCCGTTACTCATGACCCTGGTGGCCAAGCTGTGAGGGCTGCCGATGCTAAAGCGGGCCCCGAGGTGATGCTCCTCCCCCAAGCTGGGCCCCTGCGTCCCCTCCACCTGGACAGACTCAGGCCGTCCAACCAACCACCGACCGACCCGAACCCAGTCCCGACCCTGCATGACCAAGAAGGACTTGCTCTGCATTCCGCCATAACCAGCCTCAAGCCAGCATCACAAGAGGTTAATGTATAGAAGACTCTCATTTTTAACTAATATCTAGTTATATATATATATATATATATATATATATATATATATAATATATATATATATATATATATATATATATATATATTAATTAAATATAGGGGGTGGTAGAGAAAATTCTCAAATAGCTTCAGGGAGAACCTTGAGTTTTCCCTGAAGCAAGTTTATTCTTTTCTCTGAGGATGAGGGTCCCTAGAATAGTTCTAGAGGTGGTACCTCCCAATATATATATATAATATATATATATATATATATATATATATATATATATATATATATATATATATATATATATATATATATATATATCATTTCGCTAGTTAATAAGTCATATGTGAGCTATTATTTTAGCACTGAAGTGAGATTTGTCTAAAATTATTTTTTTTTTCTAAATGCGAGTCCCCTTTGTAAGTGATGCCAACTTAGAACTTGTGGGGTTGTGAAGATTATAATGTTGATCATTAGACGTGTGTTGGTAGGCGGCTCATCCTCATAACCAAACGTGTTTTTTTTTTTTCCTTTATTTTGATTTGCAAGATTTTGTACAGAGGAGTGTCTCTCTCTGGCTGTGTATATACACTGCAATTTTAATTCCTATCCTAGGGGTTAAAATATCCTTGACTGGTGGTAAATAGGTGACAAGCAGCCTTAACGACCCTTGTGTAGTTGTCAGGCTCCTAACGAAGTGGTTTAGCACTTAAAGTGATTATTTTATTATTGATCTGGTTACCTAACTTCTGCTCAAAGCCGCTGTTTAAATATGATTCTTAAACTGACTGTTAAATTTTATACATTTATTTTTATAATTAAATTAAAAAATGGAAGCACTAAAACCATATGGGTCATACAGCACAGAGATGACCTAGATTTTAAGGGCAGTGGGTAGTGAAGTTAGCGGTTAGTGAGGGTGGACAATTAGCATCATATTATAATGGTACAAGAGGTCAGTTTGTGTTAAAAGGTCATAGGGGAGGGGAGGGGGAGGGGTTAGGGGGGAGGGGTGGGGGGAGGGGGATGGGGAGGGGGATGGGGAGGGGGTGCATCAAAGATGGGGATTTGAGGGAGGGGGAAGGTCAGAGTGAAGGCACTCAGGTGCTGGTGATGCTGAAAGTAAATCCTGCTTGCTCTCTGATAGGACAGTCTATTAATATGTTGTGAACAGTTGAATTCACCTGGCAAATGTTGTAGAGAGGTGCTGGGGGGTCACTTCACACGGTATTTGCAAGTCGTGTGTTGAAAATAAGTGAAGGTGCAATATGCAATGATTAGTCGTTAAAGAAAATGGTTCTGCATTTTGTGTTGCTGCTTCATGATATGATCTTTGTTTTACGTATTACTGGTGTTATTATATGTTGCATTTGGGTCAGTTTGATTAAATAACTTTGTCTTAACTTAAGCAGACTTAACCTACATAACGTGTGTAGTGTAACTTGCTCAACATATAAAGTAAAAAAAAAATAATTCAACGTTTGCGTCAGTAGGAGAGACGTCAGTACGTCAGAAGGATCAATAGTGAACACGGCAATCGCTTCATTGAACACAAACACAACCCGATAAGTTATATTTTTCAAGTTGGAGAGAAAATGTTCATGAGGATACTATCAAGTTATTGTTGGTGTTACAAAGCGCATACTGTAAGATGTTTTTAAAAAGAGCGACACATTAGAGAACAGCAAAGGAAGAAAAGAGTTCCAGAGAGCGTAGTAAATGGGCAAAGACAGAAAAATGGAAAATCATAACTAACGATGATAGTTCTTTTCTCAGATGCCAGTCACTTAACACAACAAATGCAATTGGCGTGTCACAATACTATCCTGATCTGTACATACTCATTAAGCTAGTATTAATCCAGTTTCAGGCTGGCACTCTCGCTAGTCCTGGCAGTGGAACACACATCAGCATTCATTATCTGCTTAACAAATAACACAAACAACAGGCAGTGACCTGCCCGGGTGTAAGCCTGGCACAGGAAGAATGACAACGAATAACAGTACATACAGAATATTCCATGAACAATATAGTCCCCTCACGTGACTTCCATTGCTCTTTGGTAGGTATTAACACTTTTACAGCATAACTTCAAAACCGCACAGACTTTGAAGACAGCATTTCTGTACCTCACTTCCAGGTCTAACGGGTTAATAGGGTAATTTGTTGATCAGTTAATCTGTGAAGCATGCTGACAGCTCCTACAGGGATGCAGATTAATGTTGCTCTACATCTCATGTTATCTTATGCTACGTGATGCTCTCACATTCCTGTCTTTCTTGGTAACTAAAGGCCTGACACATTTTTATATCACCTGACGAATGTAATGACACAAGTTCACTTAAGCTGCCAAAAACAATATTTGTAGCTGGAGTCGATATTTGTCTAAGATAAGGGGATACTTAAGTGTTTATCTAGCCCTTTTCTGGGAAATACATTGCCTAAATAATAAAACACTCAACACCTGATGATTCACAAGGCAATTCTGAAGCATCTTTTCTCTCATTATTTAACCTCATGAGAGACCATGAAACTCCTGCCTACCGCTCTCCATGACATTCACATACATTCTTACGTACCTAAGAAAATGCTCGGGGAGACGCTGGCGAACCCGAAAGCTGCAGAAGAAAATAAGAAAGATGAGTGTCTTCAACAGTGCCATCAAGCATGTGTACTGCAGTCTGCTGACTCCTGGGCATCCTTGGCATGGCCCGCTAGAGCAAGCCAGTTAGAGCAAACATGCTTCTAGCTCTTTCAAACCATGGACACTTACTCTACAGGCATATTCCAAAACATTACCTAAAATACTAACTTCTTTTGTGCTACTCTCAAGCTGTCCCAAAGGATAAAGAACTTTGTTTACAATAATATAACAGTGTAAAGGATGCTTATCTTATTTGGTTCACCTTAAGATTACTATCTCCGGTAATTTAGTCGTCCACCCCAAGAGTACACCAACGTTTATCTAACACAGGTTCACCCAGTGAGAGTTATTTAACACAGTTAACTGCCCCAATTATGCTTATTCTTGCAACTTGAAGATGCACACTTACCTCCTGGCTGGTCTTCTAGTGTTGATCTGAAGTAAAATTCACGTGACAGAATTAACAAATTCATACACTCGCATGCAGTTAAATAATGTTAGTGCCTAGGAGACCGTCCCCAACTTCATACACATATACATAATGTACAGCTCTTACATTCTTTCAGAACTCGCATACAAACCATACCACGGGTGGGGTTTGAACCTGTGGTCAGAGAGTCTCAAAACTCACATACAGAGTCCTCATACATTCATCATAACATGTGTATGTACACGTACAAAGACGTCCTATGGACAGTATTAATTAAGTTAATGGATTACAGAGGAAGGAAGAGCAGCAAGCAGGAGTTTGCTGATTGAGAAAAGTGACTTAGTTTGTTAAGTAACTGAGTGTGTTAAGTAATTAGAAGTGTTAAGTAACTTAGGGTGATGAGTATTTGACAGTATTAGGTAAGCAAGTAATACAAGCAAGAAGCAGCAGTAGTGACATTTATAGTTGCTGGACGATGTGTGGTACGAGGTGGTGAAACAGATGGTTTAAAAAGACGATAAATTAGACACATGTTCAGCACTTGGGCATCTTTATTGTAGAAACGTTTTGTCATGCAGTGGTTTCATCCCACCAGTGCAAAGAAGAATGGTGAAGATCAGGAGATTGAGGTAATCAGTCCCTCAGCCAGGAGTTGATGTAATCAATCTATCAATCTCCTTCTGATTTTCGATATTCTTCTTTGTATTGGACTGATGAAGCCACTGTGGGTGAAACATTTCCTCAAGTGTTGCATATATGTCTACCTTAACAACTTTTCGGTTCTCTGAACCACTTCTCTACATGATTTAAAAAGTTTGAAGTGTTCTTGACGTCTAGCAAGAGAATCAAATCTAGAACACTTTTAAGAGCACATTCAACTTTATTTCATTTGATAATCTATAAAAAAAAATACTTATATCCATTTAATAGAACTTACTGCTTTAAATGGCAAAAAACTGTGAAAAAAAACACAATGAAAACTGAAAAACACATAAGCTTTATGTAAATTTACCTCTTAATTTTTTCCTAATGTTTTTTGACTTCTCATCCAGACGTCCTTCAAAATCACTACAGCAAGAAAGGTCTACAAGATATGGTAGAAATGAAATCTCCCTCCCTCCCCTCACCACACAGCAGTAACAAACAGCCTCACACAAGGCTACTGTACTTTTTCAGAGGCGTGACAAATTATAGAGGAAGTTTGAGACATTAATACAGAGCTGACATTGAGGTCCACTTAGTGCATAAATCTCCACTACTTATTGATAGAACTAAAGCGAAAGAAAACATGTAAGGGCTTGTAAAAGTGCAGCAGTGTAACTTACCCCTGGTGGTCTCCGGCCGTGCTAGGTGACTGCCAGTTTTTCTGAAGGCAGGTGAGGTAAAGTGGGTTTCCTCAGAGAGCGTGTCGCTGACAGCTGTCTGGGTGTCGCTCACCACAGGAGGAGAAGGTGCGAGAGAAGGCAGAGGGGCAGAGGGGGTAGGCAAGGCCGTCGGTGTAGCCAAGGACGGATCAAACAGTCCAGGAGAATCAGTGATGAGATGAAGCTGGTCCTCAGCGAGAGTAATAAGGGTGGAGGTGAGGATAGTTAGGGTGATGGAGCGCTCACCACCCAGGATAGGAAGGTAAGTTGTGCTGGTAAAGGTACTGTATATGACATTAGAGGCCAGTCTATGTTCTTTATGTTTGGGAGTCAGGTGCTGTCGAGTGGCTGGAGTGCGCGGTGGTGACGGCGTTACAAATTTAGTGTGTGTTCGCTCACGCTTCAGAGCATCAGTAATATCAAACACGCTTGTTGTGACTCCAGAGTGTGTTGGCCTCACAAACTTTGGTTTCAGTTTTGAAACAGTGGGAGAAGCTTTGGTGTGTGGTTCAGCTTCATCATGAAGGGGAGAGTGTTCATCTTCAGCTGCTGTGTCAAGTGCATGGGCCTTATCTTCCACAGGTTCATCAGCCACTGATGACTCTGGGTGTCCCTCATCATAATAGTAGTCTTCATAGTAGTCATCATAGGCATAGTCTCCCTCAGTGAGGTCGGGTTCTGTAGCAACCTCGACTGGTGGATCTTCAGATGCCTTCAACTTAACCTCAGGTTCTGGTGCTGGTGTGAATCTCAGACGATTCTCGCTTGGAGTAGTTGGCTCCAAGTCTTCCTGTGTCACAAACGGACGCAACGGACGCTCAAAGCTTGGTCTACGAATGATGGGTATGTCGTCTCGACGAATTGACGTTCTCGGAGGCCGTGTTGGACGAGTAGGAGTTGGGGTTGGCCTTGGTGCCTCAGTCCCTGGCTCTTCATGAACTTCTTTGAATGTGAAATCCTTTGGAGGTTCTTTTTCGTCTTCTGGTATACGAGACGCCAGTCTCTCTTCATCTGGAGATGGTCTAGGTGTAAACCTTACTTCACCTGGAGAAGGTCGTGGAATGATTCTGCCTTCATCAGGAGATGGTCTTGGTGTAAACCTTACCTCACCTGGAGAAGGTCGTGGAATAATTCTATCTTCATCAGATGGTCTTGGTGTAAACCTTACTTGACCTGGAGAAGGTCGTGGAGAGAAGTTATCTTCCTCAAGAGATAATCTTGGTGCATCCTTTTTTTTTTCTTCAGGAGATTGTGATGTGGATGTACGTGAAGGTGGCGTAACTGGATGCCTTCCAGGACCTGGAAGAGAGAATCTGAATGGTGGTGATGTAGATGGTCTCTCATGTTGACTTGGGGACTCGGAGGTTACTTCTGTCTCCAGAATTTCAGGTTCTGTGGGAATGTCATCAAGGGCTGGGTGCTCCCGGGCCAACTCAGGAGCCTCAAATGGAATTTCAACTTCGGGAATATCGGCAATAAGCGCATCTGATGGATCCTGAGTAACAGGGGTGACTGGCCTTCGCCTAGTGACAGTAACTCGGACTCTCTTCCGTGGATCAGCGAACCTGATAGTGCCTCTCCCATTGTCTCTGACACCAGCTCTTGAGGGCGTGGGTTCCTCAGGCAAAGTTGTAGCAACATTGTCTGCAGATAAAGGTGTTGAGTCTTCCCTTTCTCTCTGTTGAGAGGATTCAATTTTCACTTGAGTGGCTCTGAAAGTGCTAGTGGTAAGGAAGGGAGTGTCTGTGGATGAAAAATCATCTTCTACCAGAGAAGATTGGAGAGTGACAGGGGTGGCAGGGGGTTTGACAGGTGATGAAGTGGCTGCGTCTAGAGATTCTGAGGCAGCCAACTTCTGGTTTGCTTCCTCATTTCGTTTTATATCCTCAGGAGTAAGATCAACCAAGGTGGCAGAGGCAAGAAATATTTGTGTAGTAAGTGAGTTGATGACACGCTCTCCTAATGTGGCTATAGCAGTTCCAGTTTCAAGTGTGTAAAAGCCGTCAACCGCTGTGCCTGTCTGGAAGGTAGGTAGCACAGAGATAACAGTGGGTGGTACTTCATTTGACACGGTTACCTCTCTCGTTGACATGGAGTATGGAGTGGAGTTCTCATAGAGAGTGTAAAGGTAGGAGTAGACGGTATAGTATGTGCTGACTGTGGCTTCCAGAGGACGTAAAGGGCTGGCCACTACAGTAGGTTGAGGCAAGCGGCGCGTCACTACCACACGTCGACCACCACCAGGCTGCGTCATGGTCTTGTCTTCCCCCACAGTGTTGCTTACCTGCACACGTCGCCGGCTGGTGACGGTGACACGAACTCTGTTACGGCTTCCCTGTCCACCTCCTGATGCTTCCCCTTCAATATCCCGCTCTTCTGTCTCCATTATCTCATGTGTTGCTTCATTTGGAGTTGGAATTTTCTGGAAATCTATGAAATCCTGGATGTTCTCAGCTTGGATATTATCTTCAACTGGAGCTCCTGAACTGAGAGGAGGCATAGGTGTGGGATCTGTGGTAGGTGGTTCATCACTCTTTACCTGGTTGACTGGATGGCGTTGGGTGACAATGGATTTCACACGGTCGTCTGGCCTTGTCTGCTGCAGCGGCCGCTTTCGGGTCAGCACAACAACGCGGGGCTTCTGCCGAGAGTCAGTATCTGCATCTCCAATTGATGAGTCTTTTGGCCTGGGCTGAATTATGAGTTGGGGATTGAGGTGTCCACTTCCTGGAGGGGGAACTTTGCGCCTTATTACTTGTGACTCTTGCAGTTTATCAGGATTGTCTTCAGCAAGCAACTCTACAAACTGCTCAGGGTCAGCGCCTGCCCTGGCTCGAAATAACGAACAACCGGCCCAAACGGTGGTGGAGGCTCTATGAACACCGGGTCAGGCACTGGGCGAGGTTTTCCTGGGATAATGGCATCTTTCAGCGTAAATTTGGCTTGGACTGGGACACTATTTACTAGTGACTCTCCACCATCATCAATCCTGGTAAAGTCATTGACATTGCCATGTGTGGCTACCTGAGTGATGGTTTCTTCAGTGCTCTGGACATACTCGAGACCGACTTCGTCTACCAGTGTGGTGTAGTAGGTGAAGGTGGTGTAGTAGGTGGTGGGCGCCTGCAGATTCTGAGGCTGTAGTTCTGTAACATCTGATTGACTTGGGGAGGTTTGTTTTCCGTCATTGTCATGGACGACCTGCTGCTGCTGCTGCTGGTTTATATCGTCCTGGATCTTGCGAGCTTCAGGAAGCCCAGTGTTGCCCCGTTGTGCACTGCGAACATTCCGCTTGAGCGGGGCGGACTCAGCGGGGCCTTCCCATAAAAAAGGCTGTGTATTAAAAGAGTGGGTCCCATTCTGACGATACACTGCTGTCTGATCGATGTACTTTGCATAATCACCCAGAACAGACTCTAAACTGGGTGTGACTTTACGAATATCACTGGTATCTATCTCGTTCATAGCAGATACAATAAACCAATCTATATCATCCTCGCTGTAAGTATCAGGGAGTTGGAAGAGACCCTTATCCGTCTCGATGTATTGAGGGAGAACTGTGGCCTGCACATCCTTAGTGTTAAGAGAACCTCTCTTCCTGCGGGTGGCATCTCCAGAGATGGTGACGGTGGAGAGGATGGTGGAGAATTCTCCTGGTCTCCTGCCTGATACATACATCGTGACAATTGATGTCTCCACTGGTGCTGGTGTGGGTGGAGGCTCAGGCTTGGCTCTTTGCTGGCGCCCTGCTTTATCATTTTGCTGCTGTTTTAGGAGCTGGTCGAGGAGCTGGGGATCAACCTTTGAGGCATCTATGGAGGGTTCACGTGTGGGTCTAATCTGAGGAGATTGTTGCTGTAGTTGCCCTTGAAGCAGGAATGGCAGTAGTTGGTTCAGAGGGTTGGCATTGGTGAGAGGTCCAGCTGTGCCATGGGTCACAACGGTCTCTGTGCTGAATTCCGTTGCCGTCACTACCTCCACTTCAGACTCTACAACCGTAGTCTGGATGGTTTTCCCGCGGAAAATGATTGGGATTGCTGTCGAGACAATGTTGGTGACGGTAGTGACAAAGGATCTAGTGTGTACCACTTCACTGGTCATAGGCTGCCCCAGTCCCAGTGCTGCCAGAAGTGGGTTTTGTGTTTGTTGCTGCTGTGCCAGTAGCAGCTGCAGCAGCTGTTGTATATCCCCACCTTGTTTGGTTTTAACAACGGAGACGACGTTGTAGGCAGTTGAGGGAAGAACAACAGAGGCTGATGTGCGGCGACCTCCAATGAAAGTGGGGGTGAAGGTGACTGAGGTAGTCTCCACAGGGTCAACAATGTAGTGTGTAATTTCGTTGCCTCCATCAATTGTGCTGAGCAGCAGCTTAATGACACCGTCGATCTCTGTCTGTGTTATCTGGTCTGGTTGGATGACTTCCGTCTGCAGAGAAGCAGTGATAACCTCTTTTTGCACTGTCTTGCCGTCTTCAACCACAGGAATTGTCGCCTTCACAGGCTTCTCACGAGTGATTGTCAGTTCGTCCTGGATCAAGAAACCACCATCTTCACTGGGAAAGATAGCTGGTGCCTCAGTTGTAACCGGAGGAGAAGGTCTGTTTCTAAACTCCTTGATGGGGTTCGAGGAAGGTGGTGGTTTGCGGTTTCCAGCAGGCCTTCGGTTTCGGTTTTCGCCATTTCTTGAGTTAAGTGATGATGGCCTTCTGATCGGGGAGCTGGATTGTCGTGTTGGTGTGAACTTACTAGAATCACGCACATTATTGTCAGTGGCAGGTCTTCTGAATCCTCGACCACGGATGTTGCCCAAAGGAACAGTCGCCCGGGTTCTTGAGGCACGAGGTCTGGCTGGGAGTGAAGATCGACTTCTTGATGGTGCTGAAGGCTTTGGTGGTGGTTCACTTACTTTTTCTTCAGCAGGTTTTGCCTCCTGCTTTGGGGTGGGCCCACGACCTCGTACTCTAGGATTAGCATTAGTCAGTGTAAACTGGGAGCCTCTGTCCTTTTGTGGAGGAGTCGGGGCTGATGGACGTGAGGGTCTCTGGCGACCTCTTGGTGAGTCAGATGACTTAGGGGGAGGTGCTAAGGGCAATGAATCTCGAGAGCGGCCACTTCCTCTTACTAATGGACGTCTGGCTGTTCCTCTAGCTGTGGTGCGCATTCCAAAATCACCTGCCTGACGTTTCTTCCTGACTACAGTCTCTTCTGGTATAACCTCATCTGCTAATATAGACTCTAGTTCTTCAGGTGTGAGGAATCTTCCATCGGCTTCAACAAACACAGGTGCAACCCTCGTGGCCTCATTGTCTAGGTCTGACTTCAAGGAATTTCTACGGGGGAACAACTTAGACAAGTCAGGTCTACTCTGACGGAAACGGTTGCGTCTTCGTTCATCCAAGCTTAACCGATTAATGCGGAAGCCAGCACCTGGAGATGGATTAGCTGGCTGTGAAATGGGTTCTTCCTCTTCGTAAAGCTCTGTGTCACTTGGTGATTTAATGGTTGGAGATAATCTACTTGGACTTGGTGCTTCTCTGGCAGCAGTTGTACTTCCCGGACGACGGTTTAGCAGTGCAAAAGGAATGCTGGACCTTGTTCCTGCAGTGTCAGCCTGCTGTCTGGGTCGGAAGCTGAATTGCCGGAAACCTGCCTGTGGATTGTTGGAATGTGGTGCATCAAAGTCTTCAAATTCCTCATCTTCATATGGTGTTAGGTCAGAGTCAGGAGCAATTGTAGTTTTAACTTTGTGCAACACTGAGGAGGGTGAGATAACTTTGCTGGCTCCTGGGAAAACAGATGAGCGTACACTACTTAACCTGAAGCCTCCAGGGCTGCTTGAACCACCAAAATGACCTATGCCACTTGAACCAAATCGAAATCCTGGGGAACTGTGTCTAATACTTGTTGTACCAAAGAATCCTGGACGGGAAGATCCAGGTGGTAGTACTGATCCAGGAGACTGGAAGCGGAAGCGAGCAGAGGTCGTGACTGGGGATGCACGGACAGTTGGAGAATCTGCAAAAGCAAATCTGAAGGGACGTGTGGTTGACAGAAGCTTTTCTTCCTCTGAGGTACTTGCAGGAGTTGCAATTACCGTTGGCGTCACACCATCCCTGGTAATGGTTTCTGGTCGGGGTCGGAATGACGTGCGCCTCAAGAAAGGTAGTATATCAGGTCGCCTGCGAGAGCCTGGAATTCGCATAGGGAACTGATTGCGGTTAGTCGAGGGAAAATTCGCTTTGTCTTTGTTTTACCATGCAATAGTAAATCATCTTCTGGTTCTTCAGTAAAGTCATAATCTGGAAGAGCATCTGTGGCAGTATCCACGGGTGTCACGTCAGCTTTCGGGTCTACCAGGGATGAGTCGAGTGTTGGTGTTGCAAACAGTGTTGGTTGAGTTACAGGAACGTCGACTTCCTCCTCATCTATGACAAAGGGAAAAACTGGTTCTAGGGTCGCTAGCGACAGTGTAGCCTCCTCACTGGTTGTTGGGAGGAAAAAGAATGGGAGGCTGGTGGTGGTCTCCTTAGTGGGAGAGGGCAGGAAGAGTGGTACCACCTCAGAGGATGGAAGAATGATGATGCTGGTGGTCGACTGAATCTGGGCATATAATCCATCGACCACAGTGCCAATGATGTTGGTGGAGAAGACTGTAGTGGTGCCGTTAACAACAGTGCTGCCTCGAATAGTGGAGAGAAGGCCAGTGGACTTGGTCATTTTGCTATGCTCATGGTCCTTTACTTTGGGCATATCTGTTGCCAGTCCAAATGTATTTTTCTCTGAAGGGGTGAGTCCAAATGGAGTTGTTTCAGTGGTGGTAAATCCAAATATATTATCCTCAGTAGTGGTGAATCTAGATGGTTTTTTAGTAATGAATCCAAATCGATTATTGTCTTTGACAGTGGATTCAAAGAATTTATCCTCGTTTGTAGTAAATCTAAATGGACTTTTTTCAGTAGTAGCAAACCCAAATGAATCATCCACAGTGGTATTGAATCCAAATGAATTATGATCTTCAGTTTCAGCAAACCCAAATGGATTCGCCTCAGTGTCTGCAAATCCAGATGGATTCAGCTCGGTGGTGGTGAATCCAAATGGATTCACCTCAAATGGATTCGCCTGAGTGGTAGTAAACCCAAAAAGGGGTTCTTTTCGCAGTGTCGTTATGCCTTCAAAAAGACATACCAAAGGGGGCGTTAGAGTCGGGGAGACACGTTTGTAATTGTCTCTAAGCGGCTGTTCACGATAGTTTGATCCCCAAGTGGGTGAGTGTAGAAGGTGTGGGTATGTAAAGGGGGTGGGGCGGGGGTGGAGTGACAGTGGGGGTCTTCGGTAGCAGGGTTTCTGTTCTGGAACAGCTCCTCTGAGGGAAACCCTGGGAATTTTTAGCCTTTGAGGTCGAGAACGATATAGAAAGCGTCTTCTTGAGCGGTAAGATGGTGGCACCCTCCTTAAAAAGGTGGTCCAGTGGGTGTAGGTGGTGTAGTAGGACTGGGTACGGGGGGGACCACAGGGTAAGATTTTTATGCTTCTCCGCTCACTTGGGTCATCACCACTTTGGTAAGTGTCTCAAGACTGCTGATGATGGGGGAGGTCCAGCACGGAGTAAGTCGGAAATAATGTAAGTGGGAGTATGTCCGGGGAAAACACAGCATGTACCTCTTTCCCTCGGGATTCAGGGGGAGTCCAAGCGACCCTTGGAGTTTCTGTCACATCCGAGCAAGTCCGTTGAGGATTCTGACATACTCTCGGACATGGACTCTGTAAAGGACTCCATCACGGGTTTTCTGGGGTAAGCGTAGTTGCCACACGATAGCCTCCACACAGAAAGGGGCATCTGTTTTTGGTGTATCCCTGGTGGTATCGGGTTATGAGGCTGGTATGGAGGTGCAGGGTGGTAGGGGAGTGCGGTTGTAGGGGGAGGAGCAGGTGTGGTTGGGGTGAAGGTGTGGTAGGTGGAGGGCGGGTGGGGTTTTGGGAGGTGCAGGTGTGGAGGTGGGGGTCGGGGTGGTGGAGGTGAGGCGTGGTACGCTCGGTAGTTGTGGATGGGATGGTAGACGTTGTGGTGGGTTCCGTGGTATTGTTGTGGGTTTTGGTGGTTGCTTCTGTGGTTGCTGTTTAGGGCACACTGTAGGTGTGGGGAAAAAACTAGATGTACTACTTCCCGCTGTCCCCTTTGGGCACCTCGGTCCACTAGACACCTGGGGAAGCCCCTCCCGAAAGGGTCTTAGTAAGTGAGGTAGAGAAAATTGAGGCCCTATTTTTTGGTTCATTTTTGCAACTTGGGCGAGGGGGGCACGGACGCCCGAGGATGAAGAAAGGGGAAAAGAGGGTGGACGTCTCTAGGCGTGTGGGAAAAGGTAGCTGCCTTCTGTGAAATAGGTGGTGTAATGGGTGTAGACGGTCACTGAATCAGGAGGGAGTTCCGTCTCTGTAGGTTCTGGTGTAACAGCTACTGGTGTGACTGGGGCGATCTCTTCCTTTGCTTCTTTACCACTCTCGGTATCTACAATCAGCTGCTGTCCGGGGCTAGAGGCCACGGAGCGTCCCAGCGCATTGTCGACGATTTCCTTAATACCCTTTGGTAAATTCTCTGTAGTATAACCATCGTACTCGTAGTCATAAAGGTTGTAATCTTCTGTTGCTGTTCCTGGCTTCTCAGGACTTAGTGTCGCAGCAATATTTTGCACTGAAGGTGTAGGTTGAATTAAAGGAGTTGCAGAACGAGAGACGAGATAGAAGATGCTAGAGGTGCTCTGCACTATCTGTGCATACTGTTCACGAATGTATGTGCCATACACGTAAGTGGTGAGGAGAGTGGTCATTCCATTTCTGACAATAGTTCCACCAATTGACGACACTAGGCCGGTAGGGTATCGGTCATCCGTGTTGAATCTTAGAGTAGAGATAGTGGAGAATACGTTGTCCATGGCATCAATGAAACCTTCGTCTTGGCCTGGTGTCCTTACCAAGGTTCCTTCTGTCTGTGTGACCATCCTGGTTTCCACGTCCCCTTTCTGGTCAGACGTCCTAATGGGAGGAGTATGTGCAGGTGGTTCACTGTTAGTATTTCCCTCAGTCTGCCTGGAAGTAGCTAGGCGAGGCGCTAGAGTAGTCAGCTCTGTGGCTAGATGGGGTGCTAGATTGGTCGATTCTGCAGCTGGCTGTGCTAGAGTCGATTGGCTCTACGACAGATGGTGCTAGAACAATTGGTTGTGAGGCAGACGATGCTTGAGTGGCAGGCTCTGTGACAGACGGTGCTAGAACATTTGGCTCTGCAGCAGACGGTGCTAGAACAATTGGCTCTGGAACAGATGGTGCTAGAACAGTTGGCTCTGCAGCAGACGGTGCTAGAACTATTGGCTCTTCAGCAGACGGTGCTAGAACTACTGGCTCTGCAATAGACGGTGCTAGAACTGTTGGCGCTGTGGTAGATGGGGCTATAATAGTCGGCTCTGTGACAGACGGTGCCAGAATAGTCGGCTCTGTGGCCAGACGGGGAGCAAGAGCAGTCGGCTCTGATGCATGTTGGGGCAGGGCTGGATTTGATGTTATTTGTGAATGTAGCTCTTTAGTCCTCGACGTCGCTGGCTTTACTACCTTATTCGGGGTTCCTGAACGAGGTGTGAACACCACGACGGTGCCAGCAATAGTGGTCGTAAAGTCGGCAAAGCCTACATAGGTAACAGTGGGAAGGTTAGACTCGCTTCCACCACTGGCCAGGTTGAATCTGGCTCGAATGTCAGTGACGGATTTACCCTCACGTTGATGAGACTCCTGATGCTTTTCACTCACGCTTCTCTCCACCGATTTCTCTGTTTTCCTTTCAATGTGCTTGCTGAGTGCCACAACTTGCTCCAGAGGAACGTTTGGTTGATTAACTGTATAGGTGGGTAAGTTGACTTCCAGCGGGCGAGAGGTTCGTAGATCTGCGATGATCTCTCCGTTGGTTAGGCGAGCCTTGCGGGCCCGCAGGAGAGACACGTCAATCTCATTATCAGTATCACTAGTATCGCGAAGCATGTCAGCCATGCTGAGGACTGTAACCTCTTCTGGATGCGTGACTGACGCAGGCTGGACCATGCGGGTGTGGGCGACGGGACGACCAATAGTAATAGTGAGCATGCTTGTCTCACCACCCTGTCTCTGTGTACCTTCCATGTCAAAGCCCTCAGAGCCTTCAATAAACACCCCGCCCATGATGCGACCATCAACCATTCCCTCCCCCATCAGGAGATCAGGGGCAACTGTGGAGTCGATGTTCTGAGTTTTGGATGGCACAGTCATCTGAAGATCCTTTTCCATATCCACGATGATCCTGGACTGATGTCCACCTTTTTTGAGAACTACTTCGGTGTGAGTCTGGGTAACTCTCGTCGGTCCTTCAATCCCAGGAGACTGTGGCAAGGCTGTGTTGCCAAAGAAGAAGAGGTAAGTGCGGTGGTCCTTGGCGTAAGACCCTGTGAAGACATTGTAGGTGGTGGGCTGAGAGGGACCATCCTTGATGAACTGTCCTTGTGTGCCCGTCAGCGTCACTACCTCATCAGCTACAGGATGGGGATTCGAGGAGCCGTCAACGAGACTGACCTTCAGCTGGGTTCGCTGTCCTCCTGAAGCTTCTGTGAAGAAGGTACCCTGGACAGGGATGCTGAAGGGAACTGTGGGGGATTGGGAGAGATGAGAACGTACATCCGACATAGTTTCGATGAGCTTGGCGTATGTTCCATCAATATGTGTGTGCAAGTAACGTGTGGTGTATATTGTCGTGGTGTCGTCAGTAACTTGTGTCTGTAGTTCTGACGAAGTCAATTCCTCGGGTGATCCACTGGAGAGTCGAGTCGGCATTGCAAAGAACACCCGTGAGGAGGTGGAGGCGAGTTTAGTGTAATGCCCGTTGAGGCTGGTGCCATACACCAGTGTGGCGTACTCTGAGGTGGTGCCATCGTTGACGAAGGTGCCAACGGTGGAGGTCAGGAGGCCGGTAGGATGGTCAGCCTCTGGGATGATCGTCCTCAACACGTCAGTTCGTACTCCTTCTGCAGGTCGCCAGTCACCGTCAGTTCGAGTGAACAATAAATGAACGTGAAGGGAAGAATAGTGAGGATGAGAGTGGGTGAATGTTGGCAGAGTTGGTGCTAAAAGTGGCTTTAGAATTAATGGAGAAGTCATATAGTATTGAGTGAAGGAGTGACTGGAATGGGAGTGGGCAGACGAGGGCGTGTTGTATTTGGGATACAGAAGGGCGTGGGGCTATACTTTATAATGGCTAAAATGCGTAGTTAACGCCACAGTACAAAGGTTGACCGGTGTTAATTTCCGACCACATCATTTGAAAATCAAAAATATATCGAAAGCTAAAAAAAAATTGTTTAGGAAAAATAAATAAACGTGTGATTAAATTTAAAACGCGTGAAAGACAAAATAAAATGTGGGGAACTAAAGAAAAAAATATTCTTGAGTCTTAGGAAAAAAACGTATTGGCAATCATAGGATATTTGAGGGACTCGCAAAACTAGAAGAGGTAAACAAAACTGAGTTATTACTATTATTATTAATATAATTATTACTCCGACTAATAAAGATAGTCAGTAAGTCTTCACGTTGAACATCAAAGACACAGACACAGCATCACTATATCTTAACCAAGTTCCTTGTGAGCTTTATCAAGTATTGACTTTATAAAGTTCGTAACGAAACCTATATCGAAGTTTGTGTATCTCTCAGTGTATATACACTGAGAGGTGTTTATCTCTCAGTGTGAACATTAAAATGGTATAAAATACCGACAGATTGTTAGGTAAGACACATATGCAACAGTTAGGTATCTTTATTTCGAAACGTTTCGCCTACACAGTAGGCTTCTTCAGTCGAGTACAGAAAAGTTGATAGAAGCAGAAGAGACTTGAAGACGATGTAATCAGTCCATCACCCTTGAAGTTTTGAGGTGGTCAGTTTCAAACTTCGGAACAATGCTCTTCTCCAGACTGAGGGACTGACCACCTCAAAACTTTAAGGGTGATGGACTGATTACATCGTCTTCAAGTCTCTTCTGCTTCTATCAACTTTTCTGTACTCGACTGAAGAAGCCTACTGTGTAGGCGAAACGTTTCGAAATAAAGATACCTAACTGTCGCATATGTGTCTTATCTAACATCTCTCAGTGTATATACACCGAGGGGTGTGTATCTCTCAGAGTATATACACCGAGGGGTGTGTATCTCTCAGTGTATATACACTGAGAGGTGTTAATCTCTCAGTGTATATACACCGAGGGGTGTGTATCTCTCAGTGTATATACACCATGGGGTATCTCTCAGTGTATATACACTGAGAGGTGTTAATCTCTCAGTGTATATACACCGAGGGGTGTGTATCTCTCAGTGTATATACACCATGGGGTGTGTATCTCTCAGTGTATATACACCATGGGGTGTGTATCTCTCAGTGTATATACACCATGGGGTGTGTATCTCTCAGTGTATATACACTGAGAGGTGTTTATCTCTCAGTGTATATACACCGAGGGGTGTGTATCTCTCAGTGTATATACACCGAGGGGTGTGTATCTCTCAGTGTATATACACCATGGGGTGTGTATCTCTCAGTGTATATACACCATGGGGTGTGTATCTCTCAGTATATATACACTGAGGGGTGTGCATCTCTCAGTGTATATACACTGAGAGGTGTGTATCTCTCAGTGCATATACACCGAGAGGTGTGTATCTCAGTGTATATACACTAACATTTACTGTAATCCTTATTTAAAGTGCTAAAGTATTCTTGACTGGTGATGTAGCTGCATGTTAATTACAGCTCGTGTAGTAGACAGCCATCTCCATCAACCAATCATAAAGCTCACACGGAAACTGGCTTTAACGAGGGCTTTCTGTGTCTCTGATGTACCATCATCTTTACAGTCAGGGAAAGGCGCCAAATCCGTAGGGCCACAAAGCGCCTGAGAGGAAAACAAGAGGAAATCATGCAGTGAGTATAAGGAGTGACATTGATAATGACAGTATCTGGAAAATGATAACACGTCCATGAAGACTGTGCCGCAATAAGCCAGTTCTAAGTTGCAAAGGAAGAGGTCAACAAAATGCCCCATAACCCCCTTACGTTAACACTTAGAAAAAAAAGACAAGGGGCCAGCAGAGCAGACTGTACCTTCCTGGAAAGGAAGATACAGTCAGACGCACTCAACGCTTTCGAAGTGACTGTTTACGGCACCAGTGAGTGTAGACAGTGTGTGAAGCAGTCACCCTGAGAGTCCCAGTCATTATAGTCACAGTTATGAGTCCAAAGGTCCTGTCTTTAAGTAAATCAACAACATATGTAATAAATCATGCCTCGTAATAAATATATATTGAAAAAATACGAATGATAATAATTGAAAAGTTGAAAAATAAACAACAGTTTGGCAAGAAGAGTCACTAATGGATCAACATTTTTAAAAATCTTAAACATGACAGTAATTGTAAGTTGGAAAGTTTGTAATAACCCGAGATGCAAGATTGTCGTTCATTAACAAACTATATCTGAAAAAAGTATATATATGAAGAAATGAGACACAGAACAAGAGAGACATTGACAGAAGGTTTACGCATGGTACAAGTAGTTGAAAAGCTGTGATTGGCTTCTGGTAAGTCATACGAGGGATAGTAAGGATAGGAAGGGATGGACTGAGATAGGACAGAGCAATGAGAGAGGAGGGATGGTAAGAAATAGAATAAAATACTCAGACGTTGGATTAAGTGACACAGTTACGTTGTAATGAGATATTTCACATGCCAACGTTTCTACCAGGCACTGGACATTTCTCTTGTGACTTGAAAAGGCCCTCCCCGTGACAGGGCGAAATGTTGTAAAGGAAAGAGCTCATTACACTGCATTCCTGTGACTCTTCCTAGAGATAAGAAATGTTATCTGGCCTGACCACTTTTCTTAAACTTCATTTGGCAAATTAAATCAATGTCAACAATCCCAGGTAAAGTTAATTAAGAACAGAGAATGTAAACAGTTAATGTGGAAGACTGAGGATTAGGAAGACTGAGGATGGGGACGACTGAGGATGGGGACGATTGAGGATGGGGAAGACTGAGGATGGGGGCGACTGAGCATGGGGAAGGCTGAAAATGGGGAAGACTGAGAATGGGGAAGACTAAGGATGGGGAAGACTGAGGATTGGGACGACTGAGGATGGGGAAGACTGAGGACGGGGAAGACTGAGGATGGGGACACTGAGGAAGGGGAAGACTGAGGATGGGGAAGGCTGAGGATGAGGAAGACTGAGGATGGGGAAGACTGAGGATGGGGAAGACTAAGGATGGGGAAGACTGAGGATAGGGAAGACTGAGGATGGAAAAGACAGGATGGGGACGACTGAGGATGGGGAAGATTGAGGATGGGGGCGACTGAGCATGAGGAAGGCTGAAAATGGGGAAGACTGAGGATGGGGAAGACTGAGGATGAGGAAGACTGATGATGGGGAAGACTGAGGATGGGGAAGGCTGAGGACGAGGAAGACTGAGGATGGGGAAGACTGAGGATGGGGAAGATTGAGGATGGGGAAGACTGAGGATAGGGAAGACTGAGGATGGGGAAGACTGAAGATGGAAAGGACTGAGGATGGGGAAGACTGAGGATGGGGAAGGTTGAGGATGGGGAAGACTGAGGATGGGGAAGACTGAGGATGGGGAAGGCTGAGGATAGGGAAGGCTGAGAATGGGGAAGGCTGAAAATGGGGAAGACTGAGGATGGGGAAGGCTGAGGATGGGGAAGGCTGAGGATGGGGAAGGCTCAGGATGGGGAAGGTTGACGATGGGGAAGGACTGAAGATGCGGAACGCTGAGGATGGGGAAGACTGAGGATGGGGAAGGCTGAGGATAGGGAAGGCTGAGGATGGGGAAGACTGAGGATGGGGAAGGCTGAGGATGGGGAAAGATGAGAATGAGGAAGACTGAGGATGGGGAAGGCTGAGGATGGGGATGGCTGAGGATAGGGAAGACTGAGGATGGGGAAGTCTGTGGATGGGGAAGGCTGAGGATGGGGAAGACTGAGGATGGGGAACGCTGAGGATGGGGAAGGCTGAGGATGGGGAAGGCTGATGATAGGGAAGACTGAGGATGGGGAAGTCTGAGGTGGGGGAAGGCTGAGGATGGGGAAGGCTGAGGATAGGGAAGACTGATAATGCGGAAGACTGAGGATGGGGAAAGCTGAGGATAGGGAAGGCTGAGGATGGGGAAGACTGAGGATGGGAGGACTGAGGATGGGGAAGACTGATGATGGGGAAGGCTGAGGATGGGGAGAACTGAGGATGGGGAAGACTGAGGATGGGGAGGACTGAGGATGGGGAAGACTGATGATAGGGAAAGGCTGAGGATGGGAAGCTGAGAATGGGAAGACTGAGGATAGGGAAGACTGAGGATGTGGATGACTAAGGATTGGGAAGGCTGAGGATGGGGAAGGAAGGCTGAGAATGGGGAAGGACTGAGGATGGAGAAGACTGAGGATGGGGAAGACTGAGGGTGGGGAAGACTGAGGATGGGGAAGACTGAGGATGGGGAAGACTGAGGATGGGGAAGGCTGAGGATGGGGAAGGCTGAGGATGGGGAAGGCTGAGGATGGGGAAGGCTGAGGATAGGGAAGGCTGAGGATGGGAAGGCTGAGGATAGGGAAGACTGAGGATGGGGAACGCTGAGAATGGGGAAGGCTGAGGATGGGGAAGACTGAGGATGGGGAAGGCTGAGGATAGGGAAGAGTAAGGATGGGGATGGCTGAGGATGGGGAAGACTGAGGATGGGGAGGACTGAGGATGGGGAAGGCTGAGGATGGGGAAGACTGAGGATGGGAAAGACTGAGGATGGGGAAGGCTGAGGATTGGGAAAACTGAGGATGGGGAAGACTGAGGATGGGGAAGGCTGAGGATGGGAAAGGCTGAGGATAGGGAAGACTGATTATGGGGAAGGCTGAGGATAGGGAAGGCTGAGGATGGGGAAGACTGAGGATGGGGAAGGCTGAGGATGGGAAAGGCTGAGGATAGGGAAGACTGAGGATGGGGAAGACTGAGGATCGGGAAGGCTGAGGATAGGGAAGACTGAGGATGGGGAAGACTGAGGATGGTGAAGACTGAGGATGGGGAAGGCTGTGAATGGGGAAGGCTGAGGATGGGGAAAACTGAGGATGGGGAAGGCTGAGGATGGGGAAGGCTGAGGATGGGGAAGACTGAGGATGGGGAAGACTGAGTATGGGAGGGCTGAGGATGGGGAGGACTGAGGATGGGGAAGGCTGATGATGGGGAAGGCTGAGTATGGGGAGAACTGAGGATTGGGAAGGCTGAGGATGGGGAAGACTGATGATGGGGAAGGCTGAGGATACGGAAGACTGAGGATGGGGAAGTCTGTGGATGGGGAAGGCTGAGGATGAGGAAGACTGAGGATGGGGAAGACTGAGGATGGGGAAGACTGAGGATGGGGAAGGCTGAGGATAAGAAAGACTGAGGATGGGGAAGACTGAGTATGGGAGGGCTGAGGATGGGGAGGACTGAGGATGGGGAAGGCTGATGATGGGGAAGGCTGAGTATGGGGAGAACTGAGGATTGGGAAGGCTGAGGATGGGGAAGACTGATGATGGGGAAGGCTGAGGATAGGGAAGACTGAGGATGGGGAGGACTGAGGATGGGGAAGGCTGAGGATGGGGAAGGCTGAGGATGGGGAAGACTGAGGATAGGGAAGACTGAGGATGGGGAGGACTGAGGATGGGGAAGGCTGAGGATGGGGAAGACTGAGGATAGGGAAGACTGAGGATGGGGAGGACTGAGGATGGGGAAGGCTGAGGATGGGGAAGACTGAGGATAGGGAAGACTGATGATGGGGAGGACTGAGGATGGGGAAGACTGAGGATGGGGAAGGCTGAGGATGGGGATGGCTGAGCATGGGGAAGACTGAGGATGGGATCAACTGAGGATGGGGAAGACCGAGGATGGGGAAGACTGAGGATAGGGAAGACCGAGGATGGGGAAGACTGAGGATTGGGACGACCGAGGATGGGGAAGAACGAGGATGGGGAAGACTGAGTATGGGGAAGACTGAGGATGGGGAAGACTGAGAATGGGGACGACCCAGGATGGGGAAGAACGAGTATGGGGAAGACTGAGGGTGGGGAAGACTGGGGATGAGGAAGCTCTAAAGCCACACGGATGATAAATCTCCATTAGAATAATGGGACGCAATCAGATTCGATCCCCAGAATGGGAGAGAGAATCCAATCCTTGGATAACAGTTCCCTTTAGAGTAATGGGAGGCATTAAATTCGATCTCTAGAAATAAAGGAGGGATCAAATCCTGGGATAACAGTCCCCCCTCACCCAGAGAGTAATGGGACACATTCAGATTCGATCCCCAGAAATGATGGAAGGATCAGATCCTTGGATAACATTCCCCAGCGTGAAGGAACCTCCCTAGAGGTGATGAAGGAGAAATATAAAGGAACGTAGAAGGAAGAGAGAGAAGGTTAGTACAACTGAGAAGAGAGAAGGATAGGAAAACGGATTTAAAAGAAAGGAGGGAGAAGGATCAAGAAGAGGAAGACAGGAGAAGGATCAAGAAGAGGAAGACAGGAGATGGATCAAGAAGAGGAAGACATGAGAAGGATCAAGAAGAGGAAGACAGGAGAAGAATCAAGAAGAGGAAGACAGGAGAAGGATCAAGAAGAGGAAGACAGGAGATGGATCAAGAAGAGGAAGACATGAGAAGGATCAAGAAGAGGAAGACAGGAGAAGGATCAAGAAGAGGAAGACAGGAGAAGGATCAAGAAGAGGAAGACAGAAGAAGGATCAAGAAGAGGAAGACAGGAGAAGGATCAAGAAGAGGAAGACAGGAGAAGGATCAAGAAGAGGAAGACAGGAGAAGGATCAAGAAGAGGAAGACAGGAGAAGGATCAAGAAGAGGAAGACAGAAGAAGGATCAAGAAGAGGAAGACAGAAGAAGGATCAAGAAGAGGAAGACAGGAGAAGGATCAAGATGAGGAAGACAGGAGAAGGATCAAGAAGAGGAAGACAGAAGAAGGATCAAGAAGAGGAAGACAGGAGAAGGATCAAGAAGAGGAAGACAGGAGAAGGATCAAGAAAAGGAAGACAGGAGAAGGATCAAGAAGAGGAAGATAGAAGAAGGATCAAGAAGAGGAAGACAGGAGAAGGATCAGGAAGAGGAAGACAAGAGAAGGATCAAGAAGAGGAAGACAGGAGAAGGATCAAGAAGAGGAAGACAGGAGAAGGATCAAGAAGAGGAAGACAGGAGAAGGATCAAGAAGAGGAAGACAGGAGAAGGATCAAGAAGAGGAAGACAGAAGAAGGATCAAGAAGAGGAAGACAGGAGAAGGATCAGGAAGAGGAAGACAAGAGAAGGATCAAGAAGAGGAAGACAGGAGAAGGATCAAGAAGAGGAAGACAGGAGAAGGATCAAGAAGAGGAAGACAGGAGAAGGATCAAGAAGAGGAAGACAGGAGAAGGATCAAGAAGAGGAAGACAGGAGAAGGATCAAGAAGAGGAAGACAGGAGAAGGATCAAGAAGAGGAAGACAGGAGAAGGATCAAGATGAGGAAGACAGGAGAAGGATCAAGAAGAGGTAGACAGGAGAAGGATCAAGAAGAGGAAGACAGGAGAAGGATCAAGAAGAGGAAGACAGGAGAAGGATCAAGAAGAGGAAGACAGGAGAAGGATCAAGAAGAGGAAGACAGGAGAAGGATCAAGATGAGGAAGACAGGAGAAGGATCAAGAAGAGGTAGACAGGAGAAGGATCAAGAAGAGGAAGACAGGAGAAGAATCAAGAAGAGGAAGACAGGAGAAGGATCAAGAAGAGGAAGACAGGAGAAGGATCAAGAAGAGGAAGACAGGAGAAGGATCAAGAAGAGGAAGACAGGAGAAGGATCAAGAAGAGGAAGACAGGAGAAGGATCAAGAAGAGGAAGACAGGAGAAGGATCAAGATGAGGAAGACAGGAGAAGGATCAAGAAGAGGAAGACAGGAGAAGGATCAAGAAGAGGAAGACAGGAGAAGGATCAAGAAGAGGAAGACAGGAGAAGGATCAAGAAGAGGAAGACAGGAGAAGGATCAAGATGAGGAAGACAGGAGAAGGATCAAGAAGAGGAAGACAGGAGAAGGATCAAGAAGAGGAAGACAGGAGAAGGATCAAGAAGAGGAAGACAGGAGAAGGATCAAGATGAGGAAGACAGGAGAAGGATCAAGAAGAGGAAGACAGGAGAAGGATCAAGAAGAGGAAGACAGGAGAAGGATCAAGAAGAATAATCTTACCATTAATCTGACGGCGGCGTCGTCTTCTTTGATCCAAGGTCTGTGAGCCGTCTGACGGACAAATGTAGGAGCTCTTGTCTATGCTCACTGACAAGAAAACAAATGAATGTAGCTCGTGGTGACGGCAGTAATGTTTAGTAACAAGAACAGTGTTAATAACAAGAACAGTGTAACAACAACAGTCTTAAAAACAGTGTGAGACAAAAGAGAAAAATTTTTAATCGAATCAGTTAGAAATACGAAGATAATTACTACTAAAAGCAATAATATGCACAAAAAGAAGTGTATATATATATATATATATATATATATATATATATATATATATATATATATATATATATATATATATATATATATATATATATATATATATAAAACGTTCCGAATTTTGGCTTAAATATCAACGCACTTCTTGCCGAATAAGGCAAGCAAGCTGTTTATCAAATATATAAACAATTTCACAGAACATTAGTATAAATAAATATTAAATATAATCTTCATATATAATGTAAATGAACATTTTCTGAACAGTTTAAGCAGGAAATTAGAGAGAGAGAGAGAGAGAGAGAGAGAGAGAGAGAGAGAGAGAGACAGAGAGAGAGAGAATATTGAGGGGTAACTTGGTTATTAATTACTCACGTTCGTCAGAGCCCTCCACACAGTCAAGAGTGCCGTCACCGACAAGCAATGAGTCAATACATCGAGGGAAGCCACAGAGGCACTCATGCTGCCACTCCTCGCACGCTGTGGGCAGGAGTCTCCATTACTGCAGTGCCATGGAGGGGGGTAAGGGTAGGGAGGGGGTGTTATGGAGTGGAGTGGTGTGCCGAGGTGTGGGGGTGAGAAGTCATGATGGTGATGTGCCAGAGAGTATGGTATAAGCGTGTAATGGGGAGGATGGGCAGGACTGGATGGGTGGGGGATAATGGGTAGTGGGGAAGTGGAACATTCAGAGGCTCGTGAACTGAAGATTTCACATCCAGGGGATGGAAAATGGCCCCCTGGGGTAAGTTTTACGAGAAACAACAACACATAAATAGAAAGTGTCGTGACAGCACACACACACACACCAGGAGCTATGACTCAACCCCTGCAACTACAGTTAGGTGAGTACACACACTTTGCATATTCTTGACAAGAATATATAGGGGGAAAAACACCTGGTGGATAGTTGAAGCCTCTCTGTATAAACTGACAGCTAACTGTTATTTGAATAAACTGACAGCTGACAGTTGTTTACTAGCTGAGAGCTAACAGTTTTGTGCGAACCTCTCCCGTTGCTTCTTGCTTAGAGCTAACCAGACTGGTTTGCTTTAAGCAAGCCAAGTGTTGCAACACGCGCCTCCGACAATTAAATTTCTCTTTCTTAGTCGTTTCTAAGCTGGTAGACGACTTGCAGGTTCAACTTCACCTGATAGACCCGTTGCAGGTTCAACTACCCCCGGGTAGACGAGTTGCGAGTTTAACTACCCTCGGGTAGATGATTGCAGGTTCAACTACCCTCAGGTAGACCCGTTGTAGGTTCAACTACCCTCAAGTAGACCCGTTGTAGGTTCAACTACCCTCGGGTAGACACGTTGTGGACTCAACTACCCTCGGGTAGACACGTCGTAGGTTCAACTACCCTCGGGTAGACATTTAGGTTCAAAACCCGGGGGTTTAACCTTTGTGGACTCAACTCCCTCGGGTAACACGTCGTAGGTTCAACCCCCGGGGGAGACCGTTTGTAGGTTCAAACTCCCCCTCGGAAAAATTTGACATATTCAAATTTCAAAGGATTTTGATCGTACTTCAGTCCAAAAATTATTATAAATATTAGTCACTGCATTTATTGGGAAGCTCTGAACCCGTACGGGCCATATAGCTCCCTGGGGAATTTGAGGCAGTGAGGCTTCATTGAAGAAAGGGGAGTCAGGTACTGGATCCTGAAATCAAGGAAATGGTGCTGAAATAGGGCAAATGTATATAAACCAAGATGTGTATATCTCTCAGGTATATACACCAAGAGATGTGACTCTCGGGTATATACACCAAAAGATGTGACTCTCGGGTATATACACCAAGAGATGTGACTCTCGGGTATATACACTAAGTAGATGTGACTCTCGGGTATATTACACCAAGAGATGTGCTCTCGGGTATATACACTAAGAGATGTGACTCTCGGGTATATACACCAAGAGATGTGACTCTCGGGTATATACACCAAGAGATGTGACTCTCGGGTATATACACCAAGAGATGTGACTCTCGGGTATATACACCAAGAGATGTGACTCTCGGGTATATACACTAAGGATGTGACTCGGGTATATTACACCAAGAGATGTGACTCTCGGGTATATACACTAAGAGATGTGACTCTCGGGTATATACACCAAGAGATGTGACTTCGGGTATATACACTAGAGATGTGACTCTCGGGTATATACACCAAGAGATGTGACTCTCGGGTATATACACAAGAGATGTGACTCTCGGGTATATACACCAAGAGATGTGACTCTCGGGTATATACACCAAGAGATGTGACTCTCGGGTATATACACCAAGAGATGTGACTCTCGGGTATATACACTAAGAGATGTGACTCTCGGGTATATACACCAAGAGATGTGACTCTCGGGTATATACACCAAGAGATGTGACTCTCGGGTATATACACTAAGAGATGTGACTCTCGGGTATATACACTAAGAGATGTGACTCTCATTTTTTAAGTAAAATTTATTTTAGGTAACATAAGTCTCCATTTTCTTTAATGGGTAAAAAGCACAAAACTAAGTAAAAGAAAAGACGGAATTAACTTGTCTGTGTCAGCATTACTTGTGTCTGTGTCAGCATTACTTGTGTCTGTGTCAGCATTACTTGTGTCTGTGTCAGCATTACTTGTGTCTGTGTCAGCATTACTTGTGTCTGTGTCAGCATTACTTGTGTCTGTGTCAGCATTACTTGTGTCTGTGTCAGCATTACTTGTGTCTGTGTCAGCATTACTTGTGTCTGTGTCAGCATTACTTGTGTCTGTGTCAGCATTACTTGTTGTGTCTGTGTCAGCATTACTTGTGTCTGTGTCAGCATTACTTGTTGTGTCTGTGTCAGCATTACTTGTTGTGTCTGTGTCAGCATTACTTGTTGTGTCTGTGTCAGCATTACTTGTTGTGTCTGTGTCAGCATTACTTGTTGTGTCTGTGTCAGCATTACTTGTTGTGTCTGTGTCAGCATTACTTGTTGTGTCTGTGTCACCATTACTTGTTGTGTCTGTGTCACCATTACTTGTTGTGTCTGTGTCAGCATTACTTGTTGTGTCTGTGTCAGCATTACTTGTGTCTGTGTCAGCATTACTTGTTGTGTCTGTGTCAGCATTACTTGTTGTGTCTGTGTCAGCATTACTTGTTGTGTCTGTGTCAGCATTACTTGTTGTGTCTGTGTCAGCATTACTTGTTGTGTCTGTGTCAGCATTACTTGTTGTGTCTGTGTCAGCATTACTTGTTGTGTCTGTGTCAGCATTACTTGTGTCTGTGTCAGCATTACTTGTTGTGTCTGTGTCAGCATTACTTGTTGTGTCTGTGTCAGCATTACTTGTTGTGTCTGTGTCAGCATTACTTGTTGTGTCTGTGTCAGCATTACTTGTTGTGTCTGTGTCACCATTACTTGTTGTGTCTGTGTCAGCATTACTTGTTGTGTCTGTGTCAGCATTACTTGTTGTGTCTGTGTCAGCATTACTTGTTGTGTCTGTGTCAGCATTACTTGTGTCTGTGTCAGCATTACTTGTTGTGTCTGTGTCACCATTACTTGTTGTGTCTGTGTCACCATTACTTGTTGTGTCTGTGTCAGCATTACTTGTTGTGTCTGTGTCAGCATTACTTGTTGTGTCTGTGTCAGCATTACTTGTTGTGTCTGTGTCAGCATTACTTGTGTCTGTGTCAGCATTATCTGTTGTGTCTTTGTCAGCATTACTTGTTGTGTCTGTGTCAGCATTACTTGTTGTGTCTGTGTCAGCATTACTTGTTGTGTCTGTCTCACCATTACTTGTGTCTGTGTCAGCATTACTTGTGTCTGTGTCAGCATTACTTGTGTCTGTGTCAGCATTACTTGTTGTGTCTGTGTCAGCATTACTTGTTGTGTCTGTGTCAGCATTACTTGTTGTGTCTGTGTCAGCATTACTTGTTGTGTCTGTGTCACCATTACTTGTTGTGTCTGTGTCAGCATTACTTGTTGTGTCTGTGTCACAATTACTTGTTGTGTCTGTGTCAGCATTACTTGTTGTGTCTGTGTCAGCATTACTTGTTGTGTCTGTGTCAGCATTACTTGTGTCTGTGTCAGCATTACTTGTTGTGTCTGTGTCAGCATTACTTGTTGTGTCTGTGTCAACATTACTTATTGTGTCTGTCTCACCATTACTTGTGTCTGTGTCAGCATTACTTGTGTCTGTGTCAGCATTACTTGTGTCTGTGTCAGCATTACTTGTTGTGTCTGTGTCAGCATTACTTGTTGTGTCTGTGTCAGCATTACTTGTTGTGTCTGTGTCACCATTACTTGTTGTGTGTGTGTCCGCATTACTTGTTGTGTCTGTGTCAGCATTACTTGTTGTGTCTGTGTCACCATTACTTGTTGTGTCTGTGTCAGCATTACTTGTGTCTGTGTCAGCATTACTTGTTGTGTCTGTGTCAGCATTACTTGTTGTGTCTGTGTCAGCATTACTTGTGTCTGTGTCAGCATTACTTGTTGTGTCTGTGTCAGCATTACTTGTGTCTGTGTCAGCATTACTTGTTGTGTCTGTGTCAGCATTACTTGTTGTGTCTTTGTCACCATTACTTGTTGTGTCTGTGTCACCATTACTTGTTGTGTCTGTGTCAGCATTACTTGTTGTGTCTGTGTCAGCATTACTTGTTGTGTCTGTGTCAGCATTATTTGTTGTGCCTGTGTCAGCATTAATTGTTGTGTCTGTGTCAGCATTACTTGTTGTGTCTGTGTCAGCATTACTTGTTGTGTCTGTGTCAGCATTACTTGTTGTGACTGTGTCAGCATTACTTGTTGTGTCTGTGTCAGCATTACTTGTTGTGTCTGTGTCAGCATTACTTGTGTCTGTGTCAGCATTACTTGTTGTGTCTGTGTCAGCATTACTTGTTGTGTCTGTGTCAGCATTACTTGTTGTGTCTGTGTCAGCATTACTTGTTGTGTCTGTGTCACTATTACTTGTTGTGTCTGTGTCACCATTACTTGTTGTGTCTGTGTCAGCATTACTTGTTGTGTCTGTTTCAGCATTACTTGTTGTGTCTGTGTCACCATTACTTGTTGTGTCTGTGTCAGCATTACTTGTGTCTGTGTCAGCATTACTTGTTGTGTCTGTGTCACCATTACTTGTTGTGTCTGTGTCAGCATTACTTGTTGTGTCTGTGTCAGCATTACTTGTTGTGTCTGTGTCAGCATTACTTGTTGTGTCTGTGTCAGCATTACTTGTGTCTGTGTCAGCATTATTTGTTGTGTCTGTGTCAGCATTACTTGTTGTGTCTGTGTCAGCATTACTTGTTGTGTCTGTGTCAGCATTACTTGTTGTGTCTGTCTCACCATTACTTGTGTCTGTGTCAGCATTACTTGTGTCTGTGTCAGCATTACTTGTGTCTGTGTCAGCATTACTTGTTGTGTCTGAGTCAGCATTACTTGTTGTGTCTGTGTCAGCATTACTTGTTGTGTGTGTGTCAGCATTACTTGTTGTGTCTGTGTCAGCATTACTTGTTGTGTCT